ATTATTTCTAATAGAGCATGATAAATAACTTATGAAAAATAAACATTTCGGTAGTACTATCAAACGCATTAATTCAAAAAAAAGTTTGTCCTTAAAAAGGTATTGTAAAATGAGTGTGTTAGCATTTGTTTGGGCAAAATCGCCTCCCAAAACCTTTTTAACCTTTGTGTTGCAAAACATACTGTGTCATGAATGGAATAGATGGACCCAGTATTCAAAGGGAGACAGTCAGTAGGAAAGTTGAAAACATTTATTAAGACAAACATAACAGAAGAACCCTGCTGTGGACCTGCAGGAAGGGGGGGCGGGGCAACGCCCAATCACTGACACTCTGGTTTAGGGAGAAAGTGACCATGGTAAGGTAAGTGACCATGATCATCTGAACAAGAGATGATTATTAGAGGGAGTCACTTACCTGGTTTAACAGTTCAGTCCATCCTCTCAATGATAGGCAAGATCAATGGATGCGCTGCCAATGAGAAACGGCCCTGAGCCATACAGAGCATCCCCAATGCAGCAACCCCAATAAGCAAGAATGACTCCGATCCAGGACAGTGATTCAGATCAGCTTGGAGTGGTACTGGAATCCAGGAGTCTGCAGTCCAGTCAGGGGTTCCGATTCACTTAGGAACGGACAGATCCGGGTTCCAGGAATCCATCAGAGTCCCATGCGTAGAGCATCAAGCTCAGACAGAAACGCACCTGGGAGGCAGAATCCAGGAGGGGTCTAACCATGGTTCAGGCAAACAGATCAGGCAGGAACAGACAGGGCCAGAAGATGAGAGGGAACGGAATCAGGAAAACAGAATCACTCGGGAAACGCTGAAAGGCTCTCGCCACTGGTTAAGGATTAAAATGGCCTTAAGCCATGGGATGAAAAATAATCTCCTACTAGAAACATTTGGAAACTTGGAACTTTGGAACCTTGGAAGTAACTAAAACTGACAGGACACTAACTGAAGGCAAACAGGGAACAAACAAACAGGAAAACAATGATCTGGCCCTGATAGCTGTAACTGAGCCCAATATAAGGGAAACCGGCAGGTGGATGAGATGAGTGATAATTAGAAGCTGGATAAAGTTAAGCAGGTGAAAGGCTAATTAAGTAATTAAGGTGAGCTATCATAGCAGATCAGGACATATTGAGGGTAATTCATTAAAGACTGATTTTTAAATATCTCAATGTGTACACTATCGGGGTCATAATCCAGAAGTTTAGATAGGGCAGTCTAAACCACCTCGGCACCTGTTATCCATTGCAAATGCAATCTTTTCACTGTAGATCACCTATAACGAGCCCACTAATTGCACATGCAGTTTTTTATTTACACAAACCATTGTGTGTTCCTCATTTGAAACCTATGGTCAGGTCACTTTATGGGGATGAATTTGTCAAAATCCAACCTTAGCAATGTAATTGACTTAGTTCCTCCATGCAGCAGACGAATTGAGTTTGTCACACCTAACAGGTGTGTATGTTTTTTAGTTATTTCATTTTGCAAGAATGCATTATTCAGTTATAAAGTTGAGAATTTAGCATTTTCTTGTTGTATAGTTTAACCAAATAAGAATGGAAGCAGCAGGAAAATGGGCTAGTAAGACATTTTCATTTTTTTAATTAATGTAGTGAATGCTGCCTCATTGGTTCAAATGGTAGTCTTCAAACTACCAGAAAGTGAAATGTACTTAAAACAGAAATACAGAAAACATGTATTTTTTTCTTAAAAAACACCTCCTTTTTTGAGTTCTGTATAGTATCCCACTTACACTGGATGGCTAAGCTGAATCTATTTATCAAAAAGCAGCATCTCCTCGAGAGGCAAACAGATTGCATGCTGGCCTGCTACAGACTTCATCAGGTCATCTGAATTGATGATACATGTAGGAAGGCGGCTGAGTTCCCCCGGAAACCTCTGTTGGAGAGCGTTCTGGCGGAGATGGGGGCCTCAGCCAAGTCTGTCTGACTGATCACTACAGATGCTCCTCTTCAAGTATTCCGAGTCAGATCCTTAGTGCCGGGTCTTGAGGGACAAACAATAGCACCTGTTCCTCATAAGATAGCCCATTCATGTATCTTTAATGAAGCCTGGGGGCAGATGGTGTGAAATGACATTATCCAGTGCTTAGCAGTGCTAAGACAAAAGAAGAGCAGTGCCAGCACAACAATGCTCCTGTATTTTATGAGGAGAAGGCAGGACGCTGCCCAAGAGCACACCCACTGCCCCCCCTCACATCTGCTCCACTTCACTCTCCAACTCTTCAAGATCATCTTGGCAATAGAAATGTCCTGGGCATTCAGCCCACATGAAGATGAACTTGAGGGTAACTCTTAAAGGAGAAGGAGGGTATGGTTTGCAAAAACAAAAAAAAACAACAAAAAACCCCAGAAAAATGAGAGGAGGTCACACATATATACTCTTTGCTTCTTCTTCTGTGTTTCAAAATATTGTCTTCTCCTACTTTTACACTCAGCACAACATAAGAATGGTTTCATAAAAATATTAGAATATATTCGGACAGTTTTTCATTGACAATTCAAGTAACCTCCTGTATTTGTTGACACCCTGAAGCTCCTCAAAAATCCTATGCCTGCCTTTTTTCTGACATTAGTGGCTCTAAATTAAACTTTAATGCCCAGAGCTCATTACAGCAAATCACAGGCATTTACACTCAATGTATTTATTTCCTCTTCAGTGAGCATTTCCTCTCTGTCTATGCCTAAGCGAATGTTGCACATTTGCATCCATATTTTAAAAATTATAGCAGTAATAAAAGCTGATATCCTGGAAGGAATCGAATCATTTAAAGTTTATCAGTTAGTGTTGCTAGAGAAAAATCTCTCCATGCATCAGATTCTTTGAGTGGGAATCACTCAGTCTACAGCATTATGGCTTTTTGCACAGGTTACTTATGCTTATTTATCTGGTCACATTTGACCTTTTATGTAACTGTAATAATGGCAGTGTATGTTTAATGTTATCATTATTGTTTTCTTGGGTAATTTTGTGTAAAAAGGAACTCTAAAAGAATGTGTTTAATGTTAAACTATTAAAAACAAAGTCACTTCAAATGAATTTAGTTTAGTTTGTAAAATATATCTATATATTGAATTTGGGATTTTTTTTTCTACATCTTTGGGCTATAATATTACTTTTTAATTTTTTTTTTAGCAAAAACTGAATGTATATAAACCAGGGAGCATTTTTCTAGCCTTTAACTAGTGTATTTACCGCCATATACCCGTTATACAGTCTGTTTAAACTGTTCAAACATACATACAGAGCAGAGCTGTTTTCTTCAAAGTCCACCCCCCACTCAAAAATCCCTTCTGTCCTGCCCTGCCTGTTTTGACATTAATTATTGTTTTTTTCCTTATGTTCCAAACATGCAAGGCCAATCTCCATCTCTTGATCACCCAGTTTGGAAACCTGGGGCACTAATTCCAGTAAAAAAAAATTTTTCCTACTTTTTGAAGGATATTTTTCACTGTCTCTGTATGGCATTTTTTCTTTGTCAGCTGCATGATTTGTAGAATGACTTTTGGCAGTGTTACATACCCTTTTAAAATACTTGTTTCTTGCAACTTCTGCACTTGCACTTCTGTAAAAGCTCAGTAGACATAAAATGTCTATGTTTATTTAGTTTTCAGTCTTGCTTTGCACCTCTGGACAAATCAATAAAGTTGTCTTTAGGGGGTTTGGCTTGCTAGCTGCAAGATAAAGTGGGTGCAAGTATTCTTGCAAGAAAGAGCCCACATGGGGGAGGAGTGGCACCGGCTGGAAAAGTGGAGTACATAGTAGACCTTAGCCAGAACGTGGGACAGGTTGATTTCATGCCCGAATGCTGCAGCAGTAATTGCACCCAGACTAGTTTTATTACTAGTTGATTTTAAGGGGGATGAATGGGGAAACATTCTGTACAGTGTTTATTTTGGGAGATGACCTTTATTAACCTATTTCCCAGGCTGGTTCCCCCGAGGTGATCTGGCTCGTTGCTCGATTAACCCTCGCAAGTCGAAGTAGTCAGGCTGCTTCCTGTCACAATGCTTCAGGAAGCTGAAAATGACAGAAAAATTTGACTCACAACATGTTGGCCACACAGGCCACTTAGGGAACATGAGCTACTAAACTATCCTTGACAGCCAAATTAGGACGTTTTGTGTTGATATATTTCAAGGAGATTTTCTTGCAACAGGACTGATCAGTTCAAAGTGTTGCACAATAAAAGCTTTTGTTTAAGACGATAAAAATCAGAATTACAAAATTACAAGAATTAGAAAAGTAAGATAAATAAATATTCCCAAATTAGAAAATGATACAAAAATATTATTATTGGCTTATGTAAGAATAATTTCAAATAAACAGACTTGATTTTAACAAGGTTTATGTATTTATTACATAGCAGCGTAGCTACTATTTAAAAAGCCACAAAATCCAACAGCACTTACAAACCAAGGTGAAAATGTTAAGAGCATTTAGTGAAGTGGTTTTTCTAACACTAACAGGAATATAGTACCAAAGGTTTGAGCCTATTACCAAATGCACCAGTTTGTAAATGTTAGGGGGAATCTTTAGTACACTGACCCAAGATGAATCCAATGTTCTTGATATGGTTTAACTGAAATAATAGTGCATTTATGCTGGTAGAGTTATTTCTCTGCAGTGGCATAATAATCCTCTAAATAATTGAGATATGTTTTGTGATGGCTCATGAAAGTCTACAGTACTTTTTTTGCCCTCTGTTTTTCATTCCACTTCCCTCTAACAATGTGACTTTCAGGTCCTTTGATGTTGCAAGGTGAAATTGTGGCCTGGATTAAGAACAGGCATAGCTAGGCCAGGTACTGTGCAAACGCAAGAGCGTCCCCACTGCCATGGAGCCCCTTGTCAGCACACGTTAGGAAGAGCTGTGATCTAGCCTCCCTCTCAGTGTGCTCCATATTTCTGTGTGCCATGCTTGCGCGAGGGCCCCTCTCTGATCTTTGCTCCCTATCTGTTCAGCAGGTCCAGGGTCACATGCCTCCGCTCATGATCCCCATCTTTCCACACGACCAGCGCACTCTAGCAGCAGCAGCTGCCGCCCAGCAAGGCTTTCTCTTTCCACCTGGAATGTCTTATAAGCCAGGTATGCTTACTAATTAAGTCCTTAAATTCTCTATTATCCTCACACAATTGTACCAACAAATAGATTTTACTCTGAAAATGTTTAAGGTAATTAGTTTGGAGTTTGGTACAAAGGAATTCATACTTACAGGATTGTTTTCCTTCTGATAGATCAACACAGAGCAATGCATAATTCTGCAGTACACAAGTATGAATACATATTTTTCAGTTTCTTTTTTCACAAAAAAAAATCCACTTATGAAAAAATACAAAAAAAAAAAAACATGGCTTACACATACATTAAGCTTCTTTAAGTCAACATGTTTTCAGTACAGATGCAGCTTTATGGTTTTCAAGTTATATTAAATCTCTATGAGGCTCTCACATCCAGTCATAAAATCATTTGTTCATTCTAATTCATCAGCTCAAACCCAGGTAGGCCAAATGGAGAGTCTCTCTGATCATCAGTTCTGAAGTAGTTTCACAAATTGTTTATACAACATTTCTCTAGGGTTTTAATACACATTAATGCTAAACAATTGTTAAGTATTTAGTTCCATCCATTCTTCCCAACTCTTCGCAGCCTTTTTGCTTTGATAAAGCAGAACAATGCGATACCATGAAGCACTGTAATATTTTATTGATGAATACAGCATCTTCTTCCAAATGTTTGGTTTCTTCCCTTAGATTGCTTGTTGGATTATACCCTAATTAGTTTATTTACACCTGCTCCTATGTATTTTGGTGTTCATGATACTCTTTGTCCCACTATGTTCTCTATTAAAATCCTGAGGCCTTCACAGAACAGTTGTATTTATACTATAACTAAATTAGACACAGAGGGGCTATTTAGTAACTAGCTGAAATGGACCCTTTAGGGCTGAATACTATAAAGAGCCGAACACTAATGCACTTTTTAATTCTTACATTTTAATTACATCTCAGAATGATTTCCATTCAATTAAATTCCAATCAGACATTATACATTAGGTATGTGATTGTTGGCTGGTAAAATGTAATAAAAAAGAGATGTGTTAATAGTTTTGCAAGGCATTGTACAATATTGTAATATAATGAGCTTTTATGAATAGTATGAACTTTAAAATGAAACAAAAACAGTTATAATATAGTACAACAACACAAAGGGGCACAGCTAAGGAATGCAAACATGGTTAGCATAGTTTTTATAAAAAGAGCAAAAACTCTGCCTTTAAGGTTATCTAATCAACTTAGTAAACATCAAATGCCCTTTTGCAGAATCATATATTGTAAAATTAGTACTTAGACTTTAATATATGTGAACATGTCTAGTTCCTTCATTCCTTTTTTCTTTTAAATAAATTAAGAAATAAGCAGCAAAAAAATAAAAAATATATATTTTTTTTATTGTTAGTACATGTTAACTGATGCTTTTTCAAAAGAGTCTTAAACACCTACAAGTCATGTTAAAAACTATACTTGGTTAACAGCATATCACTGTATTTGCAACAATAACTGAGTTATCAATCTGAAACTCAGATTTGAAAGACAACCTAAACTGAACTTGCCTTGAAAATATTATCTATACATATTTTTTTAATAGCAAAAAGACTGTCAAGAAGTTAGTGGGTTCAGAAAGCATGAAAAGGTGTGGTAGAGCAGGTAATGAATTAACTATAGCACCACTACAGGAACAAGAATGTCAGCAATTTTGGAACTATGGAGCCATGACAGCTAAAAACAGAGTGCCTGAGGGGGAGTCTTTCACCACTTTGCTTTTTTGCAATAGATTTGACACGGAAAATGTTTTAGCTCCAATAACAAGAGCTATTATGGAATCATGGTCAGGGGTCACAAAATGTAGGATTACTGCATAATTCATGACTTCATGATGAAATAGCAAAGATTGTCAGAAACACTGTTTGTAGTCCGAGAGCCTTTTCTTTCATGACTTTATTATTTCCACCCGGCTCACAATGTTATCTGCTGCTGGGTGTACAGGGTGCTGCTGTGCTCATTCTCCATGAAGTGCACTATAAGGCGCACTAATCTGATGTTATCATTATGAGAAAGCTCACAGGGGCAGACCGTTATGGCCCTCCCAACCCTGTGGTGCCCTCATGGCAAAGCAGTATGGTACCATGGAGGTGGGTCATCACCTCGTGGACTGACTGTGCTCAACGACCTAGGGTTTCATGGTGGACAAGCACATTCATATAGGCACAAATCGTCTTTTAAACAAATAGATGTTAGCTCAACTTTTCGAGGCTGTTTGCACTGACATGGTGGTACTTGGACTTTGCAGAGTAGGCCCATAACCCTTTCTCGTTGCTATTTTTCTTACAGATTCCATTTAATTCCTTTAAATACATCTATAGTTGTGACTTTTAATATGGTTGATACGGCTCTTTAGCAACAGATACTGCAACCTTATTATATAACAAATATAAAAAGTCAATTGCATTCTAAACAAGTTTCCTATTGCTACCTAGCAGGTCAGTAAGAAGTATGTTGCAGCATTGTGTATTTTGCTCAGTGTTATTATGATTAATACACCACGCTTTGCTGGTGATGTCAAGGTTGGTGTCTGATTCAAGTCTCAGCTGAATTCTGTTGATCTATCATTTAAAAAGCGTCACTAATAAGAAATTCTTCAAATACATTTTGCTAATCGTTTAATCATACATTTTATAAAAGTATATTTTCTGCCCTTTTTTTTAAAGGCAGTTTTTCTAAAGGTTTACAAAACTTGGAGAAACAAGTTTTTCAAATCATAAGAAATGAAATAAAAGCTGCTATATTGTAATATTGCTTGTTTTTCTTTACACCAAATAAATACATTCACAGATCAGGAAAAAAATGGTTTATCTTCAATGACAAACACTTGGTGTTTTCTACATTTTCTTTAATTTTTTAAGGTTTTGTGCTATTGACTATGCTCTGTGACTGTACTTTACCTGTAGAGAGGTCTCAGCATCATCTGTGAACCTTCACCAGACCTAAAACCTATGCTTTAGAGCAGCATTTTAAACTAGAACTGTTGCAATTGTCATGCAACTCAGAAATGGGAGAATTCAAAAGCATATTTTAAAAAACAGTTGGCGTGATTCAAGGTTCCTTTAATCCAATACAGAGTCATACACCAAAAACTTCAATAACAGCAGAGGTTCACTAAAACAGAGGCAGGTCCAAATTCAATTAGAGTCAAATAATTAGAATACTAAGGCTGGGACGCCTAGCACAAAGGACAAACTGGCAAAAGGAAGCTGCATGAACTGGAATAAATAGACAAAAGACCTGATTGCAAAGAGGAACTCAGTAAGTGAAGTTGCCTGAAATGAGACAGCATGTAAATACAAAATAAAACAGGAATTAAAACGAATGAATAATATAAGAAGCTTTTAACTAACATGATTGCCCCTGGCAGCAGTGGTGTCACCTGAGGTACTTCCCTCTCCTCTGTGTCATTCATTACCATGGCATAAAAACATTGCTGTACATTTTAGGAAAAACAAAAAAAAAAGTAAACTGTTTTTTAAGTAATTTCTTTCGGCAGAGAGAGATGCCAAGCTGGAGCCTGGTTTCTCTGCACAGACACTGTGTGCCCAAAAACCCAGACCCCTACCCTCTGCAGTCATGCAGTCAAAAGGTTGCACATGACCCTTCCCAGGTTTCACATGACATCTGGAAGACCCCCAGCCATTTATTATCCACAAATTCTACGTCAAAGTCCGCAGGGAGCAAATGAGACAGAGAGAAAGCAATAGTAAAAAGAGGAGGTGTAGAAATAACCATAGTCCACCTCCCCCCTGTACATCTAACCTTGCACTATTTGAAACCCCTTCTGCTGTGTGATTTTATTTGGCACTAAATGGGGATTGAATTTCCATGGCCTGTATCACATTGTGCAGTGCTGTACAAGATTGCAGAGTGAGGCAGGCAGACGAGGGCAAAGTGAAAGGGAAGGTACATACATTTACCTTGTCTGTGGCTTAATGGCTCCATATGTTTGTGAGGAGAAGTGACAGGCAGAAGTGGGGTTTGAGCGAAGGCCAACAACCTCTTCTCCACTCCCACTGTGCACCCCACCTCCTCTTCTTACTCAGACACATGCCTCAAACCAGCCTCTCCTGTAGGACTGCTGTGCTCTGTCAATAGACATGTCCTGTACATTTCAACACACTAGATTGAATGTGTAAAAGTCTCAATATTGTTAACAATATCACCTCTGTTAAAGCAGTTTTTTATGGCTGCCTGACAAATGTTCTTATGCCTGGCCAATGGTAATAAAAGAAAGCTCAGTTTTCATTGTTTCTCTGATAGGTAGATAAAATCATGTTCGAGCTTTTTTTCCCCCTTCATCCTTGTTGTTGGGATTCCACACACTTGTTTCAACTAGTTTACATACAAGCTTTTCACTGTGCTGCCAAAGCTATCAGAAACAAACAATGTGTTGAACAATAGCCAGACAAGTCTACAGCTGTGAACAGCCTGAGAGAACATGCCTCATGTTTTGACAAACTGACTTATTGAAATCAAAGAAAAAAATATTACAATGCCTGGAGAAGTGTTCATATTCCTTTTTTTTCTTCTTTTTTTTGCTGCAAACTCTAATTTCAATATGATTTTTAGGGAATTTATATAGAAGTGAAACTAAAATTATGCATAAGTTAAAATTGTACATTTAAACATCTGAGGCATTTATATAAACCCACTTTTACTTATATACACCTAAATATAATCCAGGTGCAAACAACAAGCGACCTGAGTAGGATGCAAGTAGGAAGGCAGCCTCTGGAGCTTACTTCACTAAACTGCATTACTCATCTTACAGTTTTCTAATAAATGCAAACATTACAGGAACATCTAAAAAATCTGCAGAAATCCAAAAGGCTACATTTAGCATCCAATCAACCTAAACACTATATATGGATAAAATCCTGATGAGATTCAGAGGAATCTTTATTGAAAGGAGTGGAATATGTCACCAGCTGTGCACGTAGGTAAAGCTATGATACCTGTTTTTCAAATATATACATATAGCTATGATATGTTTTTAAAATATCAGAACAAGACCAAAATTATTTCAGCATGTTTTATCCTCAAATATGGAAACTCTCTTGTTCAAAACTTCTGAACATCAACATTGACCATTTAAGTAGTCGAATCTATCCATACATACGTTTTTAAGTACTCACTTTGAAATATTTAGGACATGAAAGAAAATTATTTCCTGTTATTAATGCTGAGAAAGGTCAGCTGAAGTTACAGGTAAAGTATTGACTCTGCTGGGCTTAATATTGTTGCATGTATTCAAATTTCTTTAATAGAAAAAAAAGGTCAACCCATATTTTGTGTGAGGGGAAAACGGGTTAAAATGTTACAAAATATGAAGTGTTTTGAAAATATTAAAAAACAAACCACTTTTTTAAACTTTTTGGAATGACTCTGACCTGGATGACGGAGAATCTTCACCAGAGAGAGATTTTAAATAATTTTCATGTACTTGCCACAATACACACTTACTTAGATCAACAAACCTAAAAAAAAACACCCACCTTGTTTATGCAGTTTGCTCATGGTATTTTCCATCATCGAAAGTGTGCAGGTGGAGTAAGGAAGGGAACGGTGTGTAACCGTGCAGCCTTTTGTTAATGCAGATGTTTGGGCTTAAAGCCAAGGGTGCGTTGCAATGCAACATTACTGTGGCAAGAGCAGCAAAGTGTCCACAATCCCTGTTGGCACTTGCCTAGATGCTGTGGGCCCCAGTCATTGTCTGAACCTGCATGCATTGTTGTCTCTCTCTCCCTCTCTGACAGGTGATAACTACCCAGTGCAGTTCATTCCATCCACAATGGCAGCTGCAGCAGCATCAGGACTCAGCCCCATCCAGCTCCAGGTATGTGCAGTCATATGACAAAGAATGCTTGGGACGCCTGCCAAGCTTAGGGCAGAAAGGATGGCTAAGCAGCTGTGAGCCAAGTAATGAGCTGCACACTAAATAATCCTGGAGACCCCCCTGGCTCACACTCACTTATCACCTTACATATGTAATTTATCCCCATTTTAAAGAAGATTTATCCCCACTTCCTCTGCCAGACAGAGAAGTGAGAAAGATAATAGTTATTAAAGGGAATGCGAATCACTTTGGTTACTTTAATCCTCTGCCAGTGAATTCGTCACAGGACAATTGCCTGTTAGAAAAAAGCCTTTTAATGCTTTTGTCTAACAGAATGAGTACAGTTTTTGATTTAACTGTGAAAAGAGAATAGTTATGAGGAAGGCATGGATAAAAAATTATTTAAATATGACTGTGAGAAAAAAATAATTAGTTGTAAATGACCTTGAGAGGGGCTAAACAGAGGTTTGAGGCTCAGAAAAATGTTATGATCCGCCCCAAACCCCCTACGGGCTGTTTGAGGAATCTTCTCACGCAACATTAAAAAGAGCTGAACCCAGGTCATGGTTTAACCCCAGGCCATAAAGCTTAATGTATATAATGATCTGCATTTTATCCTTTGCAGTTTGTATTATTACTTTTAAAGTACAGCAAACAGTTTATTTCAGCTCGTGTGTCGTTTTTCTGAGTGCATTTGAAGTGATATTAAGTGTTCTAGTTTAGCATTTAAAATATCATAATAGGGTTTTGTTTGGATTATTAAGTGTGTCTTCATTGTTGATCGATTTTATGGATTCCTGTTTTAGTTCCTTTGGTGGTTCCTTAAATTTAAAAGTTTTTTTCTTACAAAGTAACGGTCAGCTTAATAATGATTACACTTCAGTGGGTGTGCTGGTATTCTTGTGGGATATTGTTATCCAATAATCTACTCTACAAGCACAAATCCACTGTTTTTTTTTCAATAGTTTTTGTTGGGATTTCTTTTACCCAGTAACATATGATTAGTTTTTTTTTTTTTTAAGAATCTTACTTCCTAAATACTTCATGGATCTATTTTGAGAGACCAGACCTAATCTTAGTCTCTGGATTATGATTATGTTTCTCCTTCTTTTTTAGTCGTCATATGCCAAAAGATATAAGAGAAGAAATCGGAAACTGATTGACAAATTATGTATTTGAGTGTTTTTTTTGGGTGCTCTAATTGTTGGGTTCTGTTGTGGATCTTTTTTCTGTGAAGCTAGACTTCAGCGATGCACACTGGAAACAAAAGAAGGAAATGCTGAATTAAAGAGCATTTCAACTAGGATGTGGTTAAGTGGCCACTGAGGGTGAATTGACATTTTTCACTGCTTTAACCTGCAAAGCTCAACTGCAATGAAAAGCATGTACAGTAAAGACTGAGTGTGAGAGCATAACAAAGGTGAAACTCTACATGCCGTTTGTCCTTCATAGGCTACCACATTCAATACCAACAAGCCTTGGCAAGTTCTAACAATACATATAGTATCCTCTGAAGAACAGATTTTCATCATGTAGCCAAGTGGAGAGCTATCAGAAGCAGAAGGTGTTGAATAAATATGTAAAAAGTAAACGATAAAGCCTGCTTTAGAGAAAATGCTTCTGGAGTAAATGGGTTGGAGTAGCATGGTGAAGTTCACAGGAAGGGAGTGTCAGTTTAGATAGACAAATACAGTCTATTTATAGGGGAGTGTGAGGTCAGATGAGACAGACATATATCTGAGGTCGGGACGACGAGAAGGGCAAACCGGTCTAGAGAGTCATTAGTTCTGAATATGTGTTTAACCCTGGGAATGGGCAAAAACAGTGCCTCCAAGACCATGACTTGGGTGACCTTTGCAGAACACAGTAAACAAAAAAGAAGTGCATTTTTCATTAATTGAACTCTGTCAGCCCGTCACCTATTCAGCCACACTGTCTGCTATTTGCTCTGCACAGAGATCCACCCTAAAAACAGTGAGGCAAGTCAAACATGCCCTTTAATACATAGCTGGGATCAACAAACCACGTGACTGCCACCACTTCCCTTACGGAGCACCGGGTGGGGGGGCTAAGATTAAAAATACCATATCAATCCAGACATGAAATTAAATAAAAGTTGATTCGCCCCTGCTAGACCTGTTTTAGAACTTAACTTAGTTTTTTTTTTTTCAAATAGACTTGTTTAAAGTTTTATAAAAATAAAGTGAAGCAGGAAAAAAATGCTATTTTGCAACTACAAAAAAAATAAAAAATACAGTGGAAATTATCTTGTAAGAACATCTTGGAAAATAGAAGGGCTGTTGGAAAACATTTATTATTTGTCCTATTAAACACAGCAGAGCAACATTGTGTTTTCAATTCTAAAGCCATTGTTTATCTTCCCTATATTCTTACACACTAACAGAAACAGTAACCCACTCACATATGGCTGAATAAGCAGCTCCCACTAATTAAAATATCTCCTGTCAGCTGCCGAGCAAGGTATAATTTTCCACAATTTACTTAGTTTAGATGGTGCAATATGTGAACCTTTAAAAATGATCTTATTGGTAGAATTAATTCTCACAATGTTACTAAGGAAATACGATCAACCCACCATCCAGACAAGGCTGACCGCTCCATCAGTCTTAATGTTTGCAGCACAGCCTCTTCCCAATCTCCTCTGTCATAACAGTCTGGGTTCCTCCCCTTGGTTCCCTTCCTTTTTCTCTTGAAGAAAGAAAGAAAAAAAAACATGGAGCTAACAAAGGCTTAGAGCTGATGGATGTAAATGAATCTTCCAGGGCGCGTTTGAGTGGTGGGAGGCTGTAATTTGCTTGTCAATACAAGGTGGTAGCATCACTCCGGCGGCTGACAGTCGGCAAGTGGCTGTCACCGGGCGCTCCTGTACCGCAGGGCAATTTCACTCAATGTTTTCCTGACAGATTGGCTCTGGTCCGCAACTCACAGGAGAGAAGCTGGGTAAACTATCCCAGCGCGACATGCCCCTCTTCATTAGTGCCCACACAGAGCTGGGATGAGCCCGGGACCAGCAGGAAACAATAGCTCCACGCTTGCCTGTCCTTCACTGATTACTGCTGACACGTCTCACCTAAAAGAGGAAATTGTGCTTGGATTGTGCCCCAGCAATCTGTCGGGGCACCTACTATATTCAATTGAGCAAGAAGACCAGACAGAGATTTTTCAAACTCCTCAAAAGATTTTTCTGTCTGGGACGGCATTTAATTTGCTGTCCGTACACTGTCCCTTGCATCAGTGGCCAAGTGAAAAACTATCCAAGCTGGAAAAATTTGAACTTAATACATTAGCCATCATTTTAACAGAACAAATGAACAGTGGGACAGCCTTCAATGCAGCTCTGTTTTATATCACCGAAAGCAGACATTTGAGTCCAAGCCATTTAAAAGTTAAAGTATCATTAGATAAAGCAGAACATCTGGGGTCCTTGTATGTAGTATCACTCTTGGACTAAATAAATAGAAAGAAAGCTTCTGCTTTCACTCAGTCGGGCTCCAATTTTCTCTCTTGCTTTCTTAGTTTCTGTATTGCTTTTCCAGTTTCCAATCCACAGCTGAAACTGACTCTAAGTGTTTTAGTTTGTGGATTTCTCTCTGTCAATTACCATCACCCTTTTCTTTTCTTATTCTTGTGCAATAACTTGGCTGAATGTTCCATGCCCGTAACACCCTCCTGCTTTACAATTCTTGAAATTCAGCTGCTTAAGATAAGACGTAGACGAACATTTGCAGTGGCACCTCTCTATTACATGCCCGTGATAAAGCTGAGCTCGTCCTCAGCCCTGTGCTCCCACTGTAAAGATGAAAAGCAGCCCATGTGCTTAACAACAAACCAGGACCACATCTCAAGCAGACAGACACATCTGAAGGAGTACTCACGGGCTTAGACGACTGCAGTGATAAGAAAGAGTGTTACACAGTCAGGGACAAACAGGAAGAAAGTGGGAGGGCAGCAAACCGCACATTATCTTTTGTTTGGATGTAAATGCCTGTGTGGTACAGATGTGGAGAAATGCTTCTATCATTAACAAGTGAAGCACTTTTGACTTTGAGTGTGAGGAAGAGAGGAGGAGGAGGAGGGAAGAAAAGAGAGGCATACTGTAGAGAGCAGCTGTTTCTGTGTTTATGAGCAAAGGAGTCGGGTCTTTGAAGGTAACCCAGAGCAGGGCAGCAAAGCTAGAGTGAGTGTAGGGCTGGCTAATAGGACGGCAAGGTGAGCAGCTGGATTGAGGCAGTGGTGAACAGAGGGACAGATGGACAGATAGAGTTGATAATGCAGTGAGCAGCAGTGAATGGGAGGGCTGGCTCCGGGGGCCACAGGCCTTGAAGTACCCACATTCATAAAATGCGGTTTTGTGTATGTGTGTGTGCACTTGTGTGTGAGTGGGTGCGTGTATGCTGAAAAGAAACTCACAGAAAAGTGTTTGTATATGTATAGTGGCTGGATAGAGAAACGGAGAAAGGCCATGAGGATGTAGGAGGGTCAGAGTGGAGCAGGTTGTGCGCCAGCAGATGAAACAGATGTTGAGCCATACTGGAAAGCATCGGCACAGTGCACCAGGACGCCTTCCTCCACTCCCGACATCTGGGTCTAGCGTGGGTCAGCCTGCGTGGTCGCCCAGGGCAATGAGCCTATACAAGCCTTGTGGCAAGCGGAACTGGCGCTGCGCTGCCTTTTAAATGGTTTGGTGCACTCAAGCACAGTTAATGCCCTCATATCCAGTCTAGTGCTCAGTGCCGAGGCTGAACAGAGGTGATTGAGACACTTACGCGACAGACAGTCACACCAAAACGTTAAAATCTCTTTAAGATTGTGCTGTTAATAAATTGTGCTTAATCTTCCACAAGGAAAATATGTTTTTTTTATTTTTCTTGTACATCATGAAAGCTGCAACTACATTTTCTGAACATTTTTCTTATTATTTTAGAGAAGAGGCATAACGAGATTTACATTTTATTATAAGCTGAACCTTTGTTTTTTTTTAACATATATTTAAACTATCAAATTAGTTAAATATCATGTGCCTATGACGTGAAACATCATCAGCAAAGTGCACAATCTGAGGCAGATAAGTGAACCTTCCCGTTTAACCTCTGATGCTTCAATAGGGCTTGTTTTTAATTACCCAAGGCTAACAGGCTGACCTTGGGGGTGTTTGCACATACTATAAATCTATGCTCACTAAGATCCGCTTGAGCAGCAGGAAAGTGATGGGGTCAAAACACAGCCCTGGGGTGTTTAGGAGTCACTTTTTCTACAGTATAAAATGTAAATACATTTTTTAACATTTGCATTATGCAATATAACTTGAAGATTTTTTTCTACAAATGAAATACAGTCTGTGCAACAATGAAAAAGCTGACAGAAAGGATTTGAAACAGTCACAAACAGAACATCAAATCTGAGCTATAATCGTCATACCTTGAAATTTTTCTCCCCCAAATTATCATCAGATACAAGAGGGGGGATGTTAGATCACAGTTAGCTAACAAAAAGATGCAGACACATGTCTTTAGTAACAAATGTTATTAGTTTTTACTTTAGCTCAGTCATAACATGGCTCTCTTTCATTTTAGTCTTTAGAGAGAGAATTTCTGCTTTGCACGTGAAAAAAAAGGACATTCTTCTCTCTCTTTTAAAAAAGAGCTAGAGCTCAATCAAATAAAATAGGTAACATTTCTGAACAGCAGATTTAAAGTCTTGTTGCGGATTCTCCATTAAATTATGACCCTTCTCACACACAGATGTGGTTGGAAAATAATAAATCCTTTAATTTTAACTGTGGGTTTATTTTAGCAGGACAGGGTCCTGCTTAAAGATGAACCTCCGTCCTACCTGTAGTCTTATGCAACTCCTTCATTTTTTCCTGTACTATTACCTTTATTGTATAGTAGCTCCATTATTTTTCCTATCAATTTGGTAAACCTCCCCTGTTCCTGTTGAAAAATATCATCTCTACAGTTAAAATGCTGTCACAGCTTTTTTGTTAACAACCAATATTGTTAGATTTTTTTTAAGTCACTGTAAAGATTGAGACAGATGAAGAGAAAGACAATGCACTCAGAAAGTAGATTTAACCTTTTGAACTGGAAGATAGAGGAAAATAACAGAGTCTAGGTATTGTAATATTCATTCTAATCAAGGCATGCCTTGTGGTAGTTGTTGCAAAGTCTAATTAAATGTACAATTAAATTAACTGTCTTTCCATTACAATAAAGCTGTTTCCATTCAAGGTGAAGATTATGCCCAAAATAAGACAGGAAGCAAGCATATGACCAACAGAAAGCTGCCTTAAACTTTTTCTCTGTGCTTTTTTTTTTTAAAGAAAATAAAAATTCTTACCACCCCTTTACACTTAAATGCATCTATCACCAAGTCTCGCTTGGATGGGAAGAAAATGGTATTAGATTGACTTCTGTGCCTCCCGTCTGGGACAAAAGGCTGTTTGTAAGAAAGGTGGCGGCAGCACTATCATTGAAGGAACATAATCAGTCTGTCATTTCCGCTGCCCATTTGCTGTTGTTATCCCTTAGTCCCCTGGAAGAATGGACCTTTTGTGCATGAGTAGGTGCGATAAAGTTTCTTAGAAGAGCACATATAGGTTTAGACCATGAGATACTTACATTGACTTCACTTTCTGTTGCTTACCTCCTCTTTCAGACTACCAAAGGTGTGTACAGTGGGGGCCAAGCAGCTTTTTTTTTTTACACCATTTGCACAATAGCAGACAGTATGTGGCTGGTCAAAACAGCACAATGAGATAAGGTTTTTTTAACTGGCCAGTTGCAGCAAAATTAGATTATTCAAGATGGCACAACCTGACCAAACAAACTGAACATTTTACCCTGAAAGAGGAGATCGGGCCAGTGGGGAAGTTCCACATCTAAAGTAAGATCTAAAGCTGCGTCGGACTAGTGCCATTTTTCCCAAGACATACCTAACATATAAACATTAGTCATTTTATGATGGGAAGTCTAAGGACTGTCCAATTAACGCATTCTTCATGCACAAGAAATTATGTAACCACTCTTGCACTGTTGTATCAAGTTATATTCTAATTTTAAAAGTTAATAGTACATACAAACAAAATTTAATTACAAGGCACTGCACAGTAACTACAGATTCCAGAGTCATATAATTACCCCAGGGCTGTATATGCAAGTTCACTTTTGAGGGCCAGCCTCCTTCCCAACTGATGTAAATGTTAGTAATGTAATTTTGATTATATTAGTGCTCTTTTTAGTGCTTCCAAATACTTACAATGTGTCTGTTTAATGTATTCTGTGATGGCAACAGCTGAAGGTGCTTGTGAGATGAGGGGGGGTGGTCCCTGTTGGCCGAGCAGAGACAAATCGCAAGCCAGAATCTTCAATAGTAAGCTCCGTAGATCTCTGTGCTAACACACTTGCGTCGAGGCAGCAAACTTTTCTCTGTGATGAACGGAAAATAGGGGCTCCAAGTTTTTTGAGTGAAAGCCATCTCTTTATGGTTTTTAAGACTTCTGTCTCTCTCTGGGTTCAGCCTTTGAAATACAGTTAAGACCTTTGAAGGGGGTTCATTGCCAGCCTCATGGAAAGAGAGGAAAGAAGTAGAAGAAATGAGGGGCTGGTGAAGGCAGACACAGCAGCAGGGAGGGAGAGCAAAAGACAGAATATAAAACTTTGAATGTATGCTGGATTTGGATGTTAACGCCTTGCTGGTTTCTTTAACTCCCTGCCCTTTCAACAGCAACTGTATGCCGCTCAGCTTGCCAGCATGCAGGTGTCTCCCGGAGCCAAGATGCCTCCACTACCACAGCCCCTCAACTCTAGTGGGCCCATCTCTCCCTCATCTTTAAAGAATGACAAAACTTCTTCCAGCCCCATCACTCAAGTAAAGGTACAGACGAAATTCCTTTAACCGATGCACCAAACATCTCTAACTTCAAACTACCCTGACACAGCTGATGTTGTCTTCATAAACTCAAATAATTAGTACATGAGTAAAGATTAAATAGTGGTAAGCCCAGCCTCATTGGGGTCATCAATCTCAGGAGCTTTAACAGGGCTCCTTGTCTCTTAACCGGGACTTTGTGGATGTGGTTGCTATAGCGGTGGCAACTCCAAGTCAGTAATTTTGGAACAAGTTTTCTTTTTTCCACAAAGTCGAGGTTCTTTTTGGAAGTAAAATTAAATAGACCCATTACACCAGTGTTTAACAACTGTAGACAACAGTGAAGCAAAGAGTGAGATCAGCAACCTTTATATTTTTCTTATCCCTGTGAACAAACCAAATACATGATGTGTGTTCTGCTGCTGTGTGAGGTTACTCAGCCTTTATGCGGAGAAAAAGACACACATTCAACAGTCTAGTTCAGTAAGGCCATAATCAGAAACATATGTCCATTTGAAGTAGTTTAGCCTAATAACATCACAATGGAGAAACGCCATACATCACTGTGTAAAACCACTTTAGCTTTTCTTCACTTTTTACTCAGAAACACATACATGAAGCTGTGCTCAATTTAATTATCACTTCATCAGACTGTATTAATTTATATCTGTTCAGTTTTAACACAACTAAAATTAACAATTTCTTTGAATGTTTATAGGGTTATAGTTAGGTAAACGTTTTATTAGGATTTTAAATGAATAAAATAATTGGTGAACAAGTTTTGGCTCCCATTACCCCCTCTCCTTTCACGCTCTAGTGGAATAACATTGACTTTTTTGTTGTTTTTTTAGCTCTACTGCCGTACAAAGCTTTTTAAAATAGCCTTAATACTCTATGTGCTTCAGCCATATGGTTCAAGAGGAGACTGTGGGCTCTTAAAAGACAAGCTTAGAGAGCTAAGCCTATATTTAATTTATACTACTTTGCTAAAGTCAGTCAATTATGAAGATGGGTTTACAGTATAACGTGGACAATGCAATTCTGGATTGACATGTCAATTATTGTTTCTGTTTAATGAAAATTAAAGTTAGTGAACATAAGGGGCAGGTTTTTTCGGTGTGTGTCCCTTTCTATGCATATAATAAAAAAATTAAAAAACAAACAAAAAAAACACCTCTGTTGAATGAAAAAGCATGTTTTCATGCCTCTCCCATCTTAAAATGTGGCTAAAAAATCTGCTTCGATGGTACCTGGGAGTCATACTTTAAAAATTTTATTAATTAAAACATCAAATAATGAATTACTAATCAACCCTTCCTCAACACCTTAACCAGCTAGAATAACTAATACACATTTATACAAATATTTCAGTAAGATTTATTCTATAGAAGTTAGAGTGGGTGGTAATAGTGTCTTACTTAGAAATAGTTTTGCATCTTTTAGAGTTCTTTGCCAGAAGTACAGTTTAATGTAAAGGGTGCTCTAACAGGCTTACTCTTTTGTTTAATACTTCAGTTTGTTTAATAGTCTAAAGCAGGTAAAAAAAAAAGAACTGTAAATATAGAGTCATATGTTTATATCACTGTTTTTTATATATTTATTTATATTTATTATTTTTTTCCTTTTTTTCAAGGCTGCACTTTAAAAAAAGATGAGATTGTGTAAACAAAATGACAGGTAAAATCTGTTTAAGGTTAAAATTTTCTACATAGAAATGTAACACTATGCACAGAGCATCTAAGAGTGTACAAACACAACCAGTCAAGCAATACAAAATAAATGCATCCTCCTTTAATTTCAGCTACAAGCTAGACTCCACTGTATATTTTTTTAGGTATGGGCATATCAAAGCTTATGATAAAGACCAAGTAGGCACAAATGAGAAATGAAATTAGAAAACAAGTTAATGAAGTAGATAATGTAAGTCGACATCTGATGAATGGAACAGCTGTCTTTGATCACTGGCACCGCTGTTATCTGGTCATTATTTATTCTTCGAACCAGAGTGCAGACACAGAGAGCGGGGAGGAGGAGGAGGAGAGGCAGAACAGATGAAGATGTACAGAGAGACAGAATCTGCTTTAATTAGTGTGAACAAAGGCGCCGGACGACTGTGAGGAAGATCGCAGAGGAGAGAGCAGAAGAGAAAGGAGGAGAGGAAAGGGATGGAGAGAAACAAAAAAATTAGGAATCAGGAAGGAGTTTTTAGTCAGGGTAGAAATTCTGTAATTAGCCAGAAACAGAGGAGAAAAACTGTGCAGTCTGGGAATCCAGAGATTCTCCAAGAAGGGGAGGGGGACCTCATTCACATCTGTCTTCTTTCCTGCTTCTATCTCTGCCCATGTAGGAGGAGGGAACACAGCCCCTCAACCTGTCTGCTCGGCCAAAGACATCAGACATGGTCAAATCTCCCTCATCCCCAACATCAAACCTGTTCTCGGGCAGTAAAAGCAGCCCTAGCAGTCTCGTTGGCAAAGGCGGCATCCCCAGCCCACTTGGAGGAGGCCTTGGTCGGGGTTTGTCTCTCAAAATCTTTTTACAACAACTCACATTCAATTGTTCAAACTGAATTTTTGGTGTTTTTTGTGTGCTTATTCTGTTGTTTCTTTGCATAGACATTCTGTCAACTCTAAACTCTACTGCATTGTTCGGGGACCAGGACACGGTGATGAAGGCAATCCAGGAGGCCCGGAAGATGAGGGAGCAGATCCAGAGGGAACAGCTGCAGCATCACCAACAGGGCATTGATGCGAAGCTGTCTGCTCTTAGTTCAGTGGGCCTTAACCACTGTAGACTTGATAAGGTTAGAACCAGTTTAATTTAGTCCATTTTATCCTTGATTTTGGATTTCTTCACAACCGTTTTCGATTATAAAGCAAAAAGTAAGCAGCTTTCTTTGACAAAAAGAAGCGAAGAAAATAAACTATGCTAGAAACTGGAACATTTTCAGACAGTAGCATTTCTTAAGTCTTATAATTTACTTTAATCAACATCCAGGGTGGTCTTATTGATAGGAGCTGGCAAAGACTAGTTGCACATGTGTATTTACTTAAATTAGCATGAATGTGTTACTGTGTGTATGCTCAGAGGCTTTTGCGTTGTTGATGTTGGTGTGAGGGCCGTGACAGGCCATGGCAGTGCCCGGTGTGGGTTAAGAAAACTCTGAAGTCTTTGCCCAATTAAAGCCGACTTGCAGCCTTCTCTGTCCCCTGACACGGGATGAGGCTGCTTTGTACCAGGAGCACACACTCCCAGGGATTCCCTTTAAAAATATCTTCAATCGATGAGTCAATCAAGGAAAGAAAAAAGCTGTCCTCTTCTCTTCAGCTTGATGCCATGTTGCCAGTTGGCTGTGAGGAGCAGGCAGAAACTGGGAGCGATGCTCATTAATATTTCAGCACCTGACACTTTCAACCAACACCCTCAACTAGGTCAATGTATATGTAAAAAAGTCTATGAATATCTATTTTGATTTCCTCCTAATTTAGTGTTTGGAAGAGATTAGTGCCTTTGCAGGTGGCTATTAACTATGCTCTTCCTGAAGTGAAGCGGATAAAGTGATGCAGCCCAGAGAGAAAGAGTAGGATACCACTCTATCTATTGCTTACTACTTGACCACCGAAAAACAAAGAAGAGTTTACAATAACAAATCAATTCATCAGCTCACCTTCTCATGGAGAAGCAGCTTTGAGAAAGAGAAGTTCATTTTACTATTCACTCAAACTTTTTGCAAAAATCATATTCATGACTTTTCTGGGATTTCTTGCTTTAGTTAACACATGGTGCAGAAAGTTTATTGTTTTAAATCCCTTTCTTACATATCCTGCCTCAGGAGTGAGAACAGTTGCCTCCCTTTATCACAATTAAGGTGTGCCTGAGGGAAAAAAAGCAGTTAAACATGTCATGAAATGAAAGTATTAACTAAACAAGGTCTTTTTTTTCACAATCAGCCCATTGACAGCCTCATTGTCCTTAGTATGCAGAGCTTAACAGACTTTTTTTTTGTAAAAACAACCTCCCGTTTATGCTTGCTAGAGACTTCTCAAATGTTTTTATCCTAATATCTGGACTGGACCTGCATTAAAAATACAAGTTGTATTAGATCTGTCATCCATTCTGAATAGATATTGTGGTTCAATAAGTCCGTTACTCATCACCTGTAATCTATTATTATTTGTTTGTCCTTTAAGCAGATAGAACATGAGCTTTTATTTTGAAGAGTACTAGGATGAAACGCTAGCAGCACAACGCCTACAAGGGAAAAAAAGGAAAAAATTAGAAGTGTTTGGGGTGCTTCAAACATTTGCTTGCAAATATCTATTAAATGACTCAGCCTTTATTTTAGTATCATTAAATTTGAAACAATAGAGGCAACGCATATGCTGGAATTTAACAAAGAGGCTCATTACGTCAGGCAACACCTTCACAGTTTGCTGTCTAATTTTGTTGGCAATGTGCAAAATATGAACTCAGTATTGTACTCTTTTTCTAAAGGTTTGATCTTACGCCCCTGTTCCCAATATTTTAAAGAGGATTTTCATATTTTTCTTTCTTTTTACTTCTATTTTCTTTCGCACAACTGCTAGTATATAAATTCTGTTTGTTTTTCAGACCATTCCCTATAAACCTACAAGATGAGAGTTGCATTAGAGTTGCATAATAAACCTGCATGTCTCAGTGTGTTGAGGTGCCACCATGTGATTGGCCACATTTACCAGGCTTAACTAATAACGTGCTAGTTGTTTAACAATTTTAGTTTGGGCTAAATACTACATACTTAAGCTTGTGAAAAACTTTCTTTATTTTTGCAAATCATTGTCATATATTAATTTTAAAGAAACTGTTAATGGCCAAGAAAGTTTAGTGGAGATAATCTCTACTAAGTGGCTTTAAGAATTGCCCCAATCAGACTCTTTGGCTGCATACTGTATAAATGACAGTAAGTTGTAATTCTGCTGCAAAATGAGAGCAGCAAGAGAGTCTTTTGCTGATACAACAAGCCAACTTAGTAAAAAGGCTTTGGTGGTTCAGATAAAAGCATTCACTTTAGTCAGTTACAGAATATTAATATTTTAAAGGAAGCGCCTCACCTGACATAAATATGGTGTGGTCTTTAATAGCTCCCCTTCCAGTCTCTTGTTTGGAAGTTTATCATAGTGAGAGCTTAGATGAAGAAGATTCTGGAAGGTAACATAAATGGGATTAAGGAGAGGTTAAGATCATTCAGTGTGGCTGTTAGAGGGGGATATTAAATATTGATTTATTCGGCTATAATGACCGGGTAGAGGAATGGGTCTAAGTGCTGCTTAGAGATGGATCAATTCATCTTTTCATACAAAGTGTATTTGAACAGTACAATGCATTCCTGCCTGGCCTTTATCTCTCCTTCCCTCCCTTCCTGGCCACTGACCTAGGAGAACATGGGATAGACAGGACTTTGTTCAGCAGTATGTAAGCCTTTAACCTGAAGACATGTAAAATATTTATGCTCTAAAAGAGTGAGTCTTCTTGGTTCTCTTTATTTTTCTGTTTTCACTATATCCCATCAGTACAATAAACCATTTAAAATCCCTCTTCAGTTTGCCGATTTGAAATATTTATCTAAGGGTATTATTGTCTGGAGTGGGCAATTACTTTGTTCCATTATTTACCATCTTCTCTATACTCACTGGAAGCTTTAACCTAGAATATATTTGAGCATATCCGTAATAACACACAACCAGTGTGAGGCCATTTGTAACTGATTTCAGTTGTTTCCTTCTATGCTGCTCAAACAACAACCGGTTTGTGGTGTTGCAATTTTTTTATCTACAAGTTTAAAGTGTCTTGAAGTTTATAACAAATAAGACCAAAATTGCTCAGGAAATTTCACTTAAATGTTAGAATTCAGATTAATTTACTGGGCATATTTCAGGAAACCAAGAATGCAAAAAAAAAAAACAACTCAAAATATTCTATTGTCTTAGAGCTTTAAAAGATTACCTGAACAAAATCTTATAACAACTGGACAAAAATGTTTTTATATTTTTACAGCAAATATTACAGCAAATATCCACATATGAAATACATACAAATGCTTTGGGACATACATTAAAAAATGTATGTATATTTGTGACCAAATAACAAAAAACAAACCAACCTTATTTAATACTTCAGTTTTTCAGACCCCAGCTGTTGTGTTCAGCTATATCTGAAACTTCATGACAGGACCAGGGGAAAAAAAGAACCAGAAAAATACACAAAACCAACCTGTCATGTGGCCAGTCTTGCTTCTGGATTCTGCTTTTAAAAAAACAGTTTTTTTGACTGTGATTCATCTCTTTATCTGCCATTTACATGCATGGAATGTGTTTGATGTCTAAGAGCTATACAAAGATAAAATATATTCTTCTGCTGACAAATCCCTAACTGGAATCAAAAGGGAAAAGGTCAGTGTATTAACCTATTGAGCTGCCCTTTCTGCCCTACAACATCACCTTTCCTCAGTATTGATGACTACAATTGTCCATTTTTTGTATCCCAAAGCTCAGCTTGTAAATATTCAAGTAGAGATTACTCATCTGCGTCACAAAATCCTCTCTTCTAACCTATTGGTTATAGTTACTACACTTCCCCCCTATGTGTGTGCGTGTGGGTGTGCATGTGTTTGTATTATGTGTATGCATATAACCACATGTAAGTGTGTGTCTGTATGTGATGCCAGGGTCCTATTCAGGCAAAGCCCTCACAAAGACTTTGAATATAATCTTGTCTGCTTTGCAGCCCTGGAAGCAATTTTCTACTCCTTTTCGACTGCTGTCTTGGAAATTGCAAAGCAAGGCATTTTGGCTGGAGTGTAAATCCTTGGCATACAAGGGTTTGCCCATCCAAATTAGATTATTCTCAGCTTGCAGGCACTGGCTGCAGCCAGCAAGTGCTATTGTGAAGATTGCTTACATTAATGCTTTGTCCAATTGTTGGCTTTTGCCAAAAAAAAAAAAAAAGTAAGAGTGTGTCTTTACAGATGTGGGACCGTCCCGGGTCAAGCCTTTCGTTCCCCACCAAAGCCTCAAGGCTGCATCTCTGCAGGTTGATTTGACAGTATTTTTTCCTGATTTTTAACAAGAGGAATTTCTTGCTCTCTACAGCTTTAGAAATACTACTGGCATGAGTGGCTAAAAGCTATGCTCCTAATGAAAAGGTGCAAACAAGAGAGAATAATGGAAGGAATATACTAGAAAAATGAAGTCTATCATTGCCGAAGTTGGGCTGTATTCACACCAGCTTCTATTTGAGGTTTGTCCTAGTGTGAAAAAGTTAGTCCTTTGGTGTCTTTCCTACTGCTAGCAACCCAAAGGATTTGAAGAGGTTCAAGGCTGAGGTCTATTTGGTGTAAGTGTTGTGGATCTTTGAGAACTGGACCTGACAAAAATACCTTCTGGTTTAGAAATGATATAGGCATGTTTCTCTTTGAAATCCCTGTGATCCAAGGTTTTTTGAGACAATTACTGGGTATGTCCTCTCCCTCTACTGTTTCTGGCTGGAAAATCAAACTTGCCACTTTGTATTCTACAACCTGGTCCTGGTCTTCTATATTCTCATTCTTGCTCTTAGACAAACACTTTTATGGCAGCCCAGTGTAAGACCATTGGCATTAATAGCCCACCACCCCACCGCCCTACTCAATCAACACTAATACTGTACAACCTATCTCTTTAGTCATCTGTACTATAGGTCTTCCAGGTACTTTGAGAATAACAGTGGGATGTAGCTTTGATATGCAGGGAACATGAAGGCCAGTCATTGTTTAAGACAATGCTATATTCAAAAGGTACTGTAGAAGGAGTGCTAAAATTACTTACTGCTTAAGTTTATTTTTTCTGACTTCAAAACTTGCTTTATTTTATTAACTTAAATAAATAAATGGAAACAGCAATAATAAATGTATAAAAGAGGCTAAGCTGGCTTAAAACAAATGAAGTAATGCACTTACTAAACCAATAGAAGCAAAATAGCCCTGTGTCTCTTCTCTGTTATGTTTTAGAACAGAGTCCAACCCTTTGTGGCTGCTACTGTTGATTCTGTCTCTGGCTGCATTAGCCCCATCAAATGGATGATTGCGGGTGGAAAGAGAGCAACGGCCTCCATGAAAGGACCTGTGGGTTTACCACTCGCCTGGATGTATTTAACACTTAAATACTGTAGCTGAAAACTTGCAAAACTACTGGAATGCTGCAGGCTTATAAATAACATAGTTCAAAAAAGATACAAACCAGATGAGGCAGCGAACTTTGAGACATTGTAAGTGTAGCATTGTGCCGTCTTTGTTTCTGTCAGGACTGGGACAGACTGTTGAAGGATTTGGTCTGGGACCCCCTGTTTTCACTGAAGAGTTTAGGGGCACAGTGATAACTAATGTTCACTTCACAAAGCCACTGTGATATGGTCTGAAACATTACCTTAAAGCATCATTTACCAGGTTGTTAATATAGCAAACACCAGTAATGGACATTTAGGGTTTTGTAGAAACCCAATTTATGGAAACTTTATAAAAAGGCAATCACATCTAATGAAAAAGATGCATTAAACAATTTAAATAGATTTAAAATGTCCACATGTAAATCCTGTCAAGTTTAAGGGGGTTCCTGAATTTTCATGTAATCAATAAACCGATTTCAAAGTCAAATAAATGTTGATTGAAATAGTTGATTGCATCGACTCATTGACTCGAATGCAACCCCTCACACTAAGCATGCTTGTAGCGACAGTGGAGAGGAAAAACTCCCTTTTAACAGGAAGAAACCTCCAGCAGAACCAGGCTCAGTGTGAGTGCCCATCTGTTCATATGAGTGTTATTTGGGGGGAGTGTTCATATGAGTAAACTGAAAAATGTTTTTTAATGTTTATCTGATGTTTATCTTTATATTTAAAAAAATCCTCAAGTTTTGGTTTAACAAAATATTAGGAGTCAATAGTTTTGCTGTGTCTACTGCATACAATTAAACCTCTGTCTTCCTTTGCTTTTTTATGTTTAGTAAGGGTGTCATTGACAAAATTGAGAGAAACTTTAAAGTTCTAAGTGTTTCATCAGGTATTTTTCAGATGTTGTGGAAGAAGTTGTGCATTTGTTGACACGATCAACATGAAAAGACCTACCAAATCTTCACAGCATCTACCTTTCTCTCAGCAAAGATATCTTTTAGATCTTTTTGAACAATCTCAGGCCTATTGCTCTCCCATAGCCTTAGGTTATTTACAGACGTGAGAGAAAATGAGAGTTGTGATAGGCAGCACATTGCAAAAAATCCAGGGCAATAGGAGGCACAATACACAGGGCCGTCCGCCACCCGCTTTTGCCCAGAAAACGCCCTGTGGGCAAAGCAAAAGCCCTCGAGCGCATGTTCTGCGGACAGCAAGATTAAAGCTTTCCTTTGCTACGTTGACAAGAATGCTTTTGGGTTCCCTTGCCCAAGAAGTTCCACACATTCTGCTATCTATTTCTCTTTCTAATTCTCTCCCTTTCTTTGTGACTCACATCTGGCTTACCAAACCAACTTCACTTGCCAGCTGAAGTCATGTGCAGCTGAAGAAGTCCTACATCTGTTTCTAAACTTTACAGACAAAAGACTTTACAGGCAGGGCAGAGGAGATTATTTCGAGTGGCAGCTCGGAGCACACTGCTGTAATTTTCCTTGCGGTATGGGGAGCTGCTTGCCGAAGTCATTTAGATGAGAGACTGGTATCTTGCCAGCTGTTTGTGGTCTAAAGGGAGGGGTAAAATGTGTTCTGTTACATCTTTTGTTTCCTGATTTTTGTTTTTATCTTTATTTGACTAAAACTCTTTTGATTTTATGCTCTCTCTTGGTTAAATTATAGTTTATCAATAATTTCAAACATCTCTTTCTTTCACTCTGCATTATAAATACCCTTTTCATATTAGCTATACACTGATGGGCCCACATTTCCTTGCCTCCACGTCTGTTCCCATAGCAAAAAAGCCCACTTCCCCCAGATACTGTATGTCCTTTGGTACTCCGCTGTGTCAGAGTGATCAGTAAAAATTTAATGACACTATAAAATAATAAAACTGCCATTAATTTATCACAGCGCTTGATGCGTGGGCAGTAAAGAAGCATTAGTTCACTGAACATTTTCCAACCCCTAAAACAAAACCTCAGTGCTATGCAGATAACTTATGGCCCTAATTTTGACCATATTTCTTACTCACAGATATAAATTACCAAACTTATAACCGATAAGTATATCAACTTGGTATATAAAATTTAATGAAAATTTGTGATGCTGTAGTGAACTGATAGGCTGGTATTAATTAGCATAGCAATACTTACTTTAATTAGACCATAATATTGTAGCATGCAAAGTGCTGGCTTCTATGAAAAATGTGTAGACTTAAAGTAAAACAACCTCAAAACAACCTCTGAACAAGCGTTTCATTCAGTGATGTTCGGAGCTGTCTAACGTGCTGATCTCCACCGATCACATGATTCAGTGCGGTGGAGGCAAACGCTCAACGCCGCTCCAGTTATTAATGAAAATCATTGATGGATAACCCCCATCCTCTCTTCTCCCCATCCCAACATGATGCTTAATGATCATGAGTTTATAAAAGGACTTGATAGATCAAGAGGGGCCAGCGAAGCACAGAAGAGGGATGAGGCGACTACTTTATTACAGGCATACAGCACCAGCAAAGACTGTGTTTCAATACTGGACTTTCCAAGAGGAAGCATGTGAAGCACCACCATCCAGCTAATCGCACTTAAGTCACTTTGTCATCAGGCCGCTGCCTTCTTTCATTAAGAGCAATAATGTGGATGGGTGATGGATAGGAGTCTGTACACATGCAGCGTGCATGTCCACACACAAAACGTGACAGTGTGAAAAGGCCCCATACTTCCTCTTCTCTTTACAAAGTGTCCTCTCACCCAGCAGGGACCACCACATATGTCATAATTAGAAAACACTTAAGTAAGCAAAGGGCTGTCAGATAGACAGCCTCTAATCACAGGCCATAAGCAGGTAGTGGTTAATTGTATATCAAAATCACTCAGCTGGTCATAAATAATGAGTGCTCCTTCAAGTATAATGGTAAATTGCAGAGCTCTTTCTGCCTCTCTCATGTTCCTTTCTTTTGAAGAATAGTTCTTGAATAAATAAAAGCAAGAAGAACATTAAAATGCTGCAAAAAAGCTCAAATGCACTTAAAACTATCTTCATCCTTCATTTTGTCATATTTATTGTTCATATAGAAGGATACAAGGAGCTCACACAAAAGAGGATGGAAATATTTAAGATATGTAGGTTATTTTATGTTTTTTTTTTCTTAATTCAATTTACTTTCTTCTGGTAATTCTATTCAATTATTGTTTTGATTTTTGAAAAATAAAATGATAATATTACACAACCGCAGTTGAGACCACACAACTTTTAATACCTTTTAATAGGTGTAGACGTTTTTTGTGGAGGAAGAAATATAATGAGATACGGAGGAAAATGAATATAACTATCGGTCTTTCTAGGTGCAGCTTAGAAGCTGTTAGTTTAGGGACTCTGCGTGAGAGTCTGTGCATTTTGAATTACACGAAGAAAAGATTGAACATCTGCACCCTAGGAATAAAACAAATGTGTTTCTTTTCCTTATGGCTTCTTTTCTCGTCAGAGTGAAACCTTCCAAAAAGGATGGTGCTTTATTTGTGTCATTTAGAGTCAAAGTGTCCATCTCCTAGTTGAGATTTTAGAGAACAGGACAGCCCTTTGCTAATGCTCTGTGTATTCACTGAGGAAGTAGGTCATTCAACAATGGACCCGGCAGCAGTCGGCACTCTTTCCCCTTGCATAATACATTAAGTGTAATGTGCAGCAACTATTCAAAGGCCCCCCGAAAGCTGTTATTTTATTCTGTAAATGCACACGGACATGACATTTAATATTGTCATGGAGTGCTGAATGACAGGGTTTCATTGTGCTCAAGTACAACATGATGCCAAGTTTAATCTGAGCACAAAATGACATGACAAACGGGAAAACACGGTGCGTTCACCAAAACATGAACCTTGAATAAATGATGGGTGCCGAGCTCTCAGTGCCATACGCTAGGAAAACAGAGGCTGAGAGAAATGGCAGCGAAGGAAGAAAAATCTGAGCTCTGTAAAGAGCGCTGCAGTCCCATTGTGTATGGGGGATTACAAAGTATCCTTCTATAAATCTATTTACAGCACCCCTGGGCCCTCACTGTCTCTCTCCCCTCTGTCATCTTAAGCTGAATAGAGAGCAGAGAGTATAGAGAGCAGAGAGTAACAAAAACGCATCTACCTCTTGTCAAAGGTGCACCTCCAAAAACATCCTGCATATATCAGAGATCCTTTCACTTCTCAAATATTCAGCTAAAATAATATGTTGGGTTTTTTTTAACACTTTTATCTCATTGTGGAAATTTAAACACTTGCTTGCTTTTTTAACCCAACTTTATTTTTCGTTGTTTTTCTATAGGAAAGGGTGCATTTCGACAGCATCGGGCACCACCTTGGCAAACTGGGAGAGGAAGGAAAAATTGGCCACAGAGTGATTGACCTTACCAGGCCTGAGGATCTGGATGGTAAGGCCTGAAGTGAATTTGTAGCAACACATATCAGATTAAACACTTTTATGTATGGTCTAATTTCCTAAGCAATAAGATACATTGTGAAACTATGCATAAGCTTTTGAGGGTTGGTGTGAATTTTCTTTTCAAATGAGCTGTTTCTCTGAGGTTCAGGTTGGTGAATGGAGGACAAGGCTGCACAAGGAAAAAGCTGGCTAGTTTCCAAGCTTGGCTCTTGTTGCTCTTGTGCTTGTTTGTGGTCCTAAGTAGAAAGGTGCGAACTTTGATTACACCACTGTGACAAAACGTCATCCATGGCTTCGGTGCTAGATCCTACAAAGGTGGAATGACTACTTCAGTCCACTAGTGTTTGTTTGATAAAAAATATTTGTGGCAGTTTCTTTGGCATTGGAGTATGCAAGTGTTTTTGATTTATCTTTGATAAAGCAAAGAGTGAAAGAAACAGGTATTTCTCAAGATGCTTTCACCCGTTAGCATTTTACAAGAAGAAAAAAGGAACATGTAAGGAACCGACACAGCTTTCAATAAAAAAAGCAAAAAATATGCATGAAAACAAACTATAAATTATTTTTAAGCAACTTTAAAGCCTTTTTATCACACCCTCTTTGGTTTCACATCACACCCAATCCTTAAGATGAAAATTAGAGGTGAATATTGTGGCTTCATTGACATGTTTCCCATGTGAGCCATAGCAGAGGCTCCCATCCCAACCGTCTGACTCTTTGGACAGATGTGTTTTTGTCGCTCCTTCTCCCGGTGGGAACCCTCCCTCTGTGGCTACCGTGGAGTCAGGACAGAAACACAGTGCGCACTAGGGCATTTGTGTCCTTTTAAGTCCTTCTCAGGGCCAAGGGAAAGGATAGTGCCAGACGCCTTGCATCAGTATTCCCAGTGGGCTATGGATTAGGAGCAGACAGAGGTTAGAAAAGGGGATAGGTCCTCTTCCCAGGGGGGAGGGGTGGTTAAAGACTTTGAGTCAGGGCATCGCTCATAACTCAAAACACAGTTTACATTTCTTGTTTTGAAGCACAAATACATTAATCTCTTTATTTACCTGACAGCAATGAGAAGGCACATACAGCTTAAAGATGGGGAGGGATTTAAAAATGCGAGCAACAAATCGCTTACTCTTCTTAGTACATGTTTACATTTGAACTTCTCTTGATGGTCTCCTTGAGGCATTAGATTTCTGGCTCTGTGGCATATGTTGTTATAAAGACGTGAGCAGAATTGCTGGAGCTAATTTTGCTTGGATTTTCAAACAAGATTTAGATTTAAGAAACTTGTAATTTCAGATGTTATAATTTGTTTTTCCCTTAGCACTTGCAGGTTGTTGTGAAAAAATATCTGCTACAGCTTATGTGACTTTTCCAACATATTTAGACCAATTTATTTTTCCCAGACATCTAAAATGAGTAATGCAATTAGTTTTTTGGAAGCATTCTGACCCCAGACGAAAAGGAAATCACTTTGGAAACATCTGCCTTTTAACACACTTTTTCCCAAGTAGATCAGAACACAGCGGATGTGCTTTGGTGTTTTCTCAAAGGAAAATTACTGGGTGTACCTCCCAATAAGCATATAGGGTGTGAAAACCCCTTGGTGTGTAGCAGCTTTCTCTCCAGGATGAAGCAGCCAAACTAAGCAAACCCAGTGGGCAGTCTGTGCCTGTTACAGATGTGCTTGTTACTTTCTATATAGCAAGAAATATAAAGAAAGGGATTTGGATTATCGTACAGATCATACCCAGCTCATGTGATTTAACTGCTAATGTTCTTGACCAGTCAAACCCTTATATACATAAATAACTATCCTAATGAATTGGCTGTTTGTTTAGAGGGAGGTCAGAACAAATGCTGCAGTGATATGTGGAGTCAGGAATAATAACTTATTTACATTTTAAACAAGGTAGCACTAAGAAAAATAAAGAAAATCTTGTGAAAGGGTCTCTAACAAGGTTGTCATTGGACCGAATGAGAATATAGATAGTGTTTTAAAATTGTAGAAGACATAATAATAACTGAACTTTTTTAATCTCACATTGGAGAAATTGGGCATCATGGGGCACCCTGGGTGCAATCGGGGGGTTAAGGGTCTTGCTCAAGGAGCAAGAGTGGCAGTCGGAGAGTGGGTTTTGAACTCAAAACCTCAGGATTCCAAGCTCTATGCCCTAAACACTAGGCCACCACTCCAACTTTTATTTATTTATTTTTTATTTTTTAAACATTGACTCAGAGAAGAGTCCGTTCCCTTTGAACTTTTTCACACATTTTCACTTTAACATTTTTTTTTTTTTGATAGGCTGACACAAATATCACTATAATTTAGATTTTGCAGGAAATTGTTACATCCATAAATGAACTTCCTAGCTGGCGTAACTTTATGTAAGCATTATTGCAGTTTTCAGATGGTAACAACATACTGGAGAACAGAAGCTATAATTTGTGCTACATGCTATGAACCATAGAATTATTTACATATATTTGCAGTACCTTTCATATCTTAATGAATAAATGTGAAGATTGTGAATTATTCCGTCCATTTTAATTTCTATTGCTCTCCCATATTAGATATCAATAATATACATTATAGTTTTATTGAGAGAAAGTGTATATAATTTATATAAGAAAAATTAAAATAGCTAACATTATTAATGTTAAAATGCATTCTAAAATCAAAAATAATAGCTGAGGAATCAAGAAGTTGAAATTTTGTTTAAACGTGAGGAAAGATTGAGTGTATGAGCTTGTCAGATTAAGAAAATGTTCTCTGGCTTTCTGGTTTTCTATAAAACTTACTGTTCACATGACAGATTTCTATATGCTCATATACTAGAAAAGAAAATCCCAAACAAAAAAAAAATGTGTTCCTAATACTTGTAATTTGTAATGGTTTAATTAGCATGCAATGAGCTCATGCTACAGCAGATACACTGAGCTGTATGTTCTGTCTAACTAAACCCCATTAATCTCGCCTGATCCTGCTCTGAGGGAGAGGCTCCATTGTCGGCGCTAAATGCCTTCACTTGGAGGTGTTAGATTTGATCCCAGGAGGGAAGGCTTGGCAGGTACATGTAATTGTTGCAAGCTCACTGAGGCTCATCCTCTCGAGCAGATTCCTGGGTGACAGCACATGTATAACGACAGAACAAAGATGAGTAAGGAGGAGGGGAAAAGGCGGAGGATAGGGGCAGTCAGGGCATGACTACCCTCTGGCTTGGTACAAAGTCAAGTCTGAGCCTGTAGTTCACAGGTGTGATTGGTTTTCGGATCTTACTGCATTTTACTGTTAATTCTTTGCCTTGTTTCTCATTCTTCATTATGTACATTCTCTTTTAACTCTTTTTTTACTCCCTACAAAAGCAAGCAATCATGCTTTCACAACATAATTCATCCATCTCATCTGTTGTTTTTCCAGGAGAAACAAAATTAGAAGCGAATTCTCATATCATTCTGTCACACTAGAGCTACAGGCCTTATGAATCAAAATAAATTCTATTAACCGGCTCTGCCGCTGCTTCGCCTCCTTGCTAGTTACCACCCAGGGGACTTGGCCCTGTGACTGCTAAACATCTGTGTTTATTTACACAATCAAACACCTAACTGACTGATTTCTAAATGTCCTGCCTCACCTGGGAGAAACTATTGTAAATTCTTATTTTCATAATGTCAGACAAGCGTCACCATTTTTAATGAAACAAAAAAATGTTAAGATAAATTTCATGCTGTAGTCCCCAGCAATTTCCTCTGACACAGATGCACTGGAAGTCTCCAATACAGTAGATGGACTGAATTAGGAACGAAGGTGGTAGTAGTTTTTGCAAGACAAGTTCCCTGGACAACACAACACAGGGTGGTCCCTGTTGTGGTCATTGACTGTATATTCAGTTAGGCAGCAGATACCTGAAAACTTATTTTTATGCTTTGTGATGCCCTCCAGTCTTAGACATCCTTGGCAGTGACACATATCCCCTCTATCAAGAAAAGTACTAACATAATTATTAAACTCAAACTAATATTTCAGATCAAAGATCTAAGGAGGGGGCATGGGTATACATGAGGCAGATTTATTCCCTTCCTTAAATAATATGTGACAGTTTCACCTTTGAATAACATCAACTGAAAACTTGTGTTGTTGCTTCGTTCTAAAGCTTCCTATAACATCTGACAGGAGCTTTTCCAAGGGAGCAGCTATGTAAGAAAAAAGACCCATGGCTCATCTGGATTCCCTCCAATGAACTCAGTCACGGGGCTGGTTTCCTGGCTAACTACTGATGTGGCACTGGGTGATGGCAAGCAGTTGTTTTGCACCCCTCCCCATAAGAAGATCACCTCTGCCCGTATGCATGCACGCCAGTATATAAATTGCTGAATCAGTGTCAGTGATAGAGTAATGGGACGGAGGGCATCGTAAATTACAGCAAGCGATCCCGGGGTGCAGACACTGGCTGTCGTGTTTGAGTGAGCGCTATGCTCCTGAGCTAATGAATACCTTCATCTGGCCCTGGCAGTCAGCAGATTGCCCCGCATTGATGGATACTGTCAGCCCTCCGCCACACCACATTTCATTGCACAATAAACATGGTTGTCAAAAGCAAACAAAGTAAAACCAATTCATCCTGTACAGTGAGTGCATGCTAAATGAAATTAACGTACTGTGGGGTTTGGTGGCAGCAAAGGTAGTGTATTATTCTTGAATTCATGATGCCTTTAAGGCCTGTAGTATTCCAGAAGGCAAAAGCAAACATAGATATGGGGCTTTCATTGCTTGGTAGTAGCTCCTAAATTTCCTGATGTACAACACATTTGATGTGTGCTAAAACACTCATTTATGGACTTGCATTAGTTTGGGAGCTTACAATTTAACATCTTTTTTTCAAGTTTAGGTAAAAAAGTCAGAGTTTGGTCTGAAAAAGGTGAACTTTTTCTGGGCAGACAAAAAACAATTCAACATTATCACCTGAACACAGACATTTGTACACTTCTTTTTATTTAGGCCAATGTGTATAAATGTGACCTGTTTTTGTTACATAAACTGAAATCTCATTATACAGCTAATCAGTCTTTATTGTGCTTGCTATTTTAGTAAAAAAAAAACACATTTAAAAAAAAAAATGTTTTTATTAAGAGTAGGCAAACTGTTGAGGTTGGAAATTGTGAAGCAATGTCTTTCATGATTAAGACAGAGTTAGGTTTCTGCAGATTTCAAATTAATGTCTCCACACAGCCCTCGATTACTCATTAAGAATTTGATTTGTTTATAAACTGAAATAATAATAGAAATCAAACCCCAGGTAACGTTTGCCAAGACTGCTGGTGAAATGGTTTAATGAGAAGGCTTCACATGTGGATGATGAAATATGCATGAGTCATTCCAAGCTTTCTTTTCCAGATCTGAGATCATTAAAGATGTATCGTAGCATATGGAAGGCTCTTTTTTGTCTTATTTTTCAAGCCTTGTTTATCAACATGTTTTTGTTTGTTTAAATATTCATACTGCTTTTATTTAATTCTTTCACATCTTACATATAAAAGGAAGCAAATGCACATGCAACAGAAATCATTATCAGCCTTATGTACAGTTTAATACTGAGAGAAACTATCTTATGCTGATTGTGAATGCCCTGATTGAGAACAGCACATTGCAAAATCGGCACACTATTTCTCCACGCTAATATAGGCCTGGTTTGTTTGTTTGTGTGCAACTGTGTTGGGAGGGTAAATTATGTTTGTATGCTTGGAGGAAAAAGGGAAAGTCTCAGAAACAACTGGGGAAAAGGAAGGAAAAACATTTAAGCATATATATGTGAAATATCATTGGAATAAAGCTTTTTTAAGGGTTTCCTGAGTTTAAGTTTCCACCTTCTTCTACTTCTTCTTATTTTACTTCCTACTAGTCCTAAAAAGGACTGACAAAATATTTGAGCAAATATGAATAATCTTTGGAGTATGTTACATGTTATTTATGTTGGCACTTTTCTATTTGAATACCCAGCTGAAAAGTGTGTATTCTGGAAAAGCATACACTTAAACACGTATTTGAAGTCAAATGGTTTAATCCTCTGGATTTAGACGATACTCAGAGAGAATGAAAGAACTCAGCTCTGTGTAAACTGGCAACTTTTTTGGTTTGTAGCTCTTAATAATTTCAAGTTCAGTTTTATACAAGAAGCAAAACTCTGGCCCTCTGGGAGGTTTTGTTTTCTAAGTACTCATTCAGAACAATGTTCTGTAAGATAAAGATAGAGGCGTTAATGATAGACGAAAGAGAGTTTAAACCTGGCTTGTCATTTAATCAATGCCTTGCCTCGCTCTCTCTTCTTGTTCCTGCTCTGGCTTTTCCAGGGTCCAAGGAAGTCAATGGCTCTGCAGATAAACCCCAACCCTATTATTGTTGGCCAACAGGAGGTGCTGGATCTACGGAGGCACGAGTCTTCAGGGAATCCCGAGGGCGGAACAACAATGAGCCCCACATTAAAAGGCCAATGAACGCATTCATGGTGTGGGCCAAAGATGAGCGGCGCAAAATCCTCCAGGCCTTCCCCGATATGCACAACTCAAACATTAGCAAGATTTTGGGTAAGATCTTTTGAATCTGATATACGAGAATAAATATTGTAGATCAGATTTTTTTTTTCTGAATGCTTTAAAATAAATCAGTAGAAAAACATCAGTTAAACTTTTTGCATGGTAAGGAAAATAAAAAAAATATCCTCCATCATAAGATACATTTTTCAAATGAGTTTCCAGTTTTCTTGATCTATATGGTTTAAAAAAGCTTCTTTTTTTTGTTTTGTAAATTCACCAAATCTTCCTAGTTTATTTAGGGATAGGAAGTGTGTCATGGCACAAGCTACTGGTCATCAGTTCAACTCAGTATCCAGATGGATTTATGGCCCATCACTACCATAAGTGTTTGTCATGAAAAATGACAGAGACTAAATGGGTCTTGTCCCCTCAGCACTGGAGTCTATACATCAGAGCTGTTAAAAGTGCTGTCATCCATGGCGCAGTAGCACTTCATGGTGCTGTAGTATTTACAGCACAGGCTTGTTGTAGTTTTTGACAGTATGGGGGACAAGCATGTCTCTCTTGTAGTAAAATACATTTTAGTGTATGAATTTCTCTAATCAAATACTTTGAAAACACTGTGTTACATAAGTTTTCTATCATACAGCAATAAAGCATCCTTACAAAATTACTGATAAAGACATAGACACCTCCCTATCATCTTTCTAATTGTTTTAGGTAAAGATAAACCTTTTTTTAAGTAAACATCTGTCTAAAGCTATTTCCCAGCTTATAAAAATGTAGGATAAGCTTAGAAATATGAACTTAAGGTTAAATTAATTGTTGTATGGAATTTTTTTTTTCTACTCAAATATACAGAATGAAAGCTACAAAAATACTAAGATAACATTTTTCATTTTTTGGAAATATTTAAGTATGATTTTCTGTTAATGCTATAAAATATTTTTTTATAGAGATTTTTTTTTAGAGATATTAATTGTTCGAGGATACCATAAGGGCAGCAAATGCTGCGTGTGAACGAAATTAAAATCACAAATGTAATTGATAACCATAAGGTAATTCTTAAAATTATTTCTTTTAATAAAAAAACAGTCCTAGTTTTCTTGTATATGATCCTAACAAAATAATTTTTGTCCTCCAGGAATAGTGGAGAATGTGGAGAGTAAAGTTTAAATGCCCTTTTTTTAAATAGCCTGTTATCCTGATATTTAGAAGCTTACCTGTACTGTATAACTGATTAATATATAGGCTATGTATGTCAAGACTTAGACTCTCGCTTTTACGTCTCAACCCAATTAGATTTGTAAAATAGTTTTCAAATGCTGAAAAGTTCATCTTCCCGTGCTTCAGGCTCTCGATGGAAGGCTATGTCTAACCAGGACAAGCAACCATACTACGAAGAGCAGGCCCGTCTGAGTAAGCTCCACCTCGAGAAGTATCCAAACTACAAGTACAAACCTCGACCTAAAAGGACCTGCATAATTGATGGCAAAAAGCTACGCATTGGAGAGTACAAGCAGATGATGCGGTCCCGACGACAAGAGATGAGACAGTTCTTCACTGTGGGGTATGTGCAATAACAAACAACCATTAACCAAAGCGAGTTTTTACCAAATGCCTGACACATTTTTAAGAACACTGCAGGCATTTTTATAAAATAAGTTTCACATTAACCTATAATATGGTTTTAAGATTTTAAAATCAAGCTTTTTTAATGGCTGAGATTTGATAAATTGACAAAATACTTTAATTCCCTCTATTTTAAAATGAAGCATGAAGTACAGAGATTTCATGGGAAATAAGCTGTAAGTGTAAACTCAGAAAGGCCTGGAGGGCCGCTGAGGCTTAACACTTTAATTTACAGTGTGGTTAGCAGGAGAACCCCTCTCCAGGTGTTCCCATGTCAGTCATAATCTTCAGCAGCTTGGGGAATCAATCATGCAGCTCAGCAGCAGACAAGAGCAGCGCCAAGAGCGTATTGGTTTTATGTCACCAATAAACTGGGTTCTCTGTCTAAACGGTGCAGAACAGGAGCTGTCAGGAAAACCTCTCTTCTCCCAAATCATTTTCATAAAAGTTGCTGCATTGACACACAGTATTAGGGAAACCCCCTACTCCAGCCATCATGTGTTAGTATCGCGAAAGCAGGAGAAGATATTCTTTTTGCAGAAAATTGGAAATACAGTTAATAATAATCCCTCTTCCCTTTCTTGTTTGTCCAGCCAGCCACCTCAGATTCCCATCACCACCAGCGCCAGTATGGTCTATCCAGGGGGCCTCACCATGGCAAACACCACACCCTCACCTCAGATGACGTCAGAGTGCTCCAGCGCCTCGGTGAGCCCTGAGCCATCTATTCCCGTTATTCAGAGTACTTACAACATGAAGCTGGAGCCCAGCGCCTTGGCGAACAACAGCGAGCAAGTCAACGGCGAGGATGAGATGGACATGTACGAAGACTTCGAGGACGAGCCCAAATCAGACTATAGCAGTGAGAATGACACACAGGAGCCAGTCAGCGCCAACTGAGACCTGTTTTACTGAAATAGAGACAGCAGTCACACAGGAGGATGATCTGATCTGATCTGAGGGCGTGAAGGAGCAAAAAGAACAAAACTTTATCACATGGATCGGAAATACGTTTTGAAAGAAAATTATAATGTACCATGTGGAAGCCTGCATGCAGCTACGGCTTCGTCAGTCAAAAGCTATTTGGTCTTAAATATTTCTTCAAGTTTGTGAAATAGTTTGTTTTTGTGGTAATTTATAATTTCTTTTTTTTTTTCATTGTTTTCTTTGTTTTTTCATTACAGATCATAGACGGTTACACAGTTAGTTTGTTGCCTAAAGCAAAAGACAGAGCTTGAAGCTTAACATTTGGTATTAACCCATATTACTTAAAGTCATGTTGTTTTCATGTAATGATGCTTCATCACCTAACTGTTCAAGATGGGAAAAATGATCTCACTCAGGTATAGTGTGCCAGCCAACAGCTTGTGAATGTTTTTAACCATGAGAAAAAGTATCAAAACACAAACAAGGAGAGATTCCAGTTTAGTCACATTATTATTATTATTGTTATTATTATTATTATTTTGTTTTTGCTGCACTATTTGGTGTGGAAGTGCCAAACATTTCATGTTTATTTACAAGAGGCTTTGAAGACAATCTCTTCATCTCTTAAAGCAGCTTATTATACGATCTCTCTTTGCTCTAACAGAAAAGAACAAATAAAACTCAGGAACTTGGAGGCAGCAAGTTCTGTAGGAAGTAACGGATGAGTGGAAGTTATATTATGGTAGCCGTACTCCACAGAGATTAATGCAGTGCGCATCAGTGGTATGAGCAATCCCTTTTATTCCTCTTGCCACAGTGCAAACTGAACATTGTAGAATCCTTTCACTTATTTCCAGCTCTACAACCCAATCTGAATCACCAGGATCTTAATCAGCGATTGTAATCAGGCCAGAATGTTAAAAGGCCAAGGCCCCCAATCTGCAGGATTGGAACAGAAGTGAAAGACAGCTTTGGTGGCATTACAATCTTAAATTGATGTTGTACAATGTGTGGCTCTAAAGCTATGGTACATTTTGTTAAACACTTTAGCCCCATTTGGATGGCATGTTTAAAGTCTTAGGTCTTAAAATTAAATTTTTTCAGACATTGTAAATCTTAAACGGACACTAAGAAGTCTTAAAGCAGGGTGGTTATCTTGATGATGCAGTGGAATGATTACTAAAGTTGTATCGAAAGGACTGACAGATTGCCAGGAGGTCTATAAAGAAAGACAAAGACCTGCCATCGTGTTTGGTTTCCTCACTTCTGTGCATCTCACAGAGGTGACTGTGTGAGAGGTGACTTTGTTTTTGTTTTTAGGTCACTTATATTAAGCCTTTTTAATTGAAAAAAAAAACATATAATCTTCAATATAACATAGAAGTTAGAATCATGCGTTACTATCTACAACAACTCTTTGAACCAGATTTGACATTTATGAGTTGTATTGGTTTGAAAAGAAATTCAAGAAACTCTCCCCTACCCTAATTACATACAAAAGATTTAGGGTTCTGGAGCTTGATGTTAAAGATGGGTCTGTAGAGCAGAAGGTCTAAGTGGTTCTTCTCTTAGAGACGCACATTTTTGACCCCAGTCTTTGGCAGTCTCGACACTCAGGGGGCACCATCTGGCTTGGAGAAGGAGAAAGCAGCGGGAAGGAATGGGGAAACAATAAAAACTGGGTGTGTGTCCCTCATTGTGCTCTCCATCAAAGTGCTGTAAGTAAGGCCACAACAGGGCTTACTACCCGGCCCAATCACCAGGCACTGGCGAGCAGATGGAACAAGTACATCAAGCTGTGGGGGATTATTAAAATGACTGACGAGTGGGTATCATCTGAAATGCAGCATTATTAATGCATGAGTCCAGTTATTTCCCCCTTGCCCTTGAATCTGTCCATTTCAGAGAGGAGAGCTTTGTGAAGGAGCTGATTAGCTGGTCACTGACCATAAGTGGTCAAGAGCCTCACTGCTGATCACTGCATTTTTCTCTTGCCTCTGATAGGTACAGATGGCCCGCCTTGCTCTTTAGCACTTCTTATTTGAATTACCCAACTTTTGCAAACATTCATATAAAAAAACATGTTTTATTATTTACTTTTTTGTTTGTGTCTATTTAATTATTTTTCCATTGCAATGTTCAACACTTTTCTAATTTCTACACATTGAAGCAATCATTGACGCTCTCCTATAAGTCAAACCTTCTCCCTCCAAGTCAACCAATTTGGTATTTCTGATGTGTTTCCTCCTGTTTGCTGGTGGTTAGACTGATTTGTATGTGACTGTAAATAATTTTATGACCACGCCAAGCAGCTCCAGTTTGCTGGCATTCGGACTCCCTAAGAAATTGACACTGTGCTAATGCAGCAAATCGACAAATAAAAAAAATGAAAAAAACAACAAAAAAAGAAGAAAAAAGACAACAAAGAGACAATGTGTTATAGGCACTGGATATTCATCATATTTTTTAAGCAATTCTGATCAATGTGAATTTTTTTTTTTGACGAAGAACCCCATGGATGGACAGGATTCCCCTGCTTGACTCAAGTGGGTTTGTTGTCACACCTGTCACAGATTTGGGTCCTTTTTATGATCAGTTTTTCATCTACTTATTTTGTGTGTTTATGTAATGACACGTGCGATGAGTGAACGCTTGTTTAAGCTTCAAGGCTTGTCTTGGGGAAAGACTAAGCAAAAGAAATGTGTGCAGACAATTAAACAGAAGGCTCAGAGAACTGTAAAACAACAGACGTTGTATATTGTGTTTGATACTGTAGAGTATCAACATACTGTATTTATTATCAGCCTTAGCTGGCTCTAAAATTGGCAGTGAAACAAGAAAACCGAGACAATCAGAAAAATTAAAAAAATTGGAGATACAACTAAGTTTTACTCAATTCACTGATAGTATTTTATTGTAAATATGAGCAATGACGGTATTTTTTGTTCATTTGTTTTTTTATTTTTCAAGTTATGTATTTGGCAGATTTATTTCCTCTTTTATATTTGTTCTAAAAGCTGACAAGTGGTTATACCTCATTTTGATGCTGAACATTTTTAATATTTAAAGTCACAATTCAAACTTACCTTATCAGACTTAAAAGGTACTGAGTCAAATAAGCACTTAATGCTTGCAAATTATTATTTTTTATACAATTCATGATGCTGTTTTCCCTTGCTGATTTTTTTATTTGTTTTATTTAAGCAATTAGCCTATTAGTTTCGGATGGAAGATAAAATAATCTGAAAATAACTAAAAGGATCATTGTTAGAAATAAAATGTACCTTCTTCGTTGCTTCAAAAAACAGTTTTAAACACACAAGGTAGTTTTTGTTTATTTCAAAGGTGAAAGCACCCAAGTGTTTATTACTTCTAATTTAAAATGCAGAAAACAATGCATCTTTACATATGCTGATGGTTTTCTGGAAGGTAGGCCTCACAATTGTTCTAAATTTTTTGCCTCCTGTAAAACATGCAAAATGGTTTAGATGAACTGAGGACAAAGGATTCAATTCTGTCTCGAGATTACTGTAAGTTGATTCATTTTTTTTTTTTTTTTTTTTTCAAACATTATGATGTAAATGGTGGGAATGTTCTCTATGTTAATTTAATCAGCACAATTCACTGACATGCTGGACTGACATGCTAGCTGCTGTTCAGAAAGTGTAAAAAATGTGCCATCGGGGCAACATTTTAAGCTGCCCTAGGTACTCTGCTTTTACGAATTGTCCTTTCAAGCGACACTGTGTGGGGCTCTTCTATGACTGGAGCCACAGTTTAAAAAAATTGCTGGCAGCCTGAAATAATTTTCTGCATAGAATCCTGATTTGTTTCCTCTCCCTGCAGGTACCTATAAGCCCATTGCAAGTATTGTTTGGGTGTCATTAGAGAACAGGAAATACATAGTGTCTGTTGCTGCTTTAAAAAAAAAAAAAGTTTATGTCTGAATATGTAAATAGTTTATCATGATATCTTGTACAGTCCAATGTAAAGTTTTTAATTCAACTTAAAAACAATGTTGCCATCACATTTGTGTTCACATTCTTCTTTTTACAGAGCAAAACAGGTCAATTACTTGCAAGGGTGTATTACTGCTTGAAAAAAAAAAGAAAATGTTTGTTTTTTATGTTCTGTTTTGCTTTGCTTCAAAGTGTACACCAGCATTCTTTGGTTTTCATGTGCAGTATTGACGTGAGGTAAACTTAAGGTGAATAATTTTAAATTGATGTGTGTGAGTGGAGAGCTGCGTCCTCAGCTTCAGTAGTATTAATACACTAAAACAAGTAAAAACAAACCAATGATGGGCACACTTGTGCATCTTTGCACCATGCAAGTGTGTTTACTGTAAATGATAAAATTATGCCCACAGGGTCACTTCAGAAATATTATGAAACTGCATTTTCCGTATGTGTTGGTCCATTGTATGAATGCAGCAGCGGGCTGAAGAAACTGCCGGCTTTAGCTTATTTACCTCAAGACTTTCCTTGTTTTCTGTAAAAGAGACATTGTGTTGCAAAGAGGTTCACACATCACTCCATCTTTTGTACTGCTGTTGACACTTACCGATTAAAGAGACATTTTGTTTTAAGGACTCGAGTTAGTATTTTGATTGCATGCTGTCTGTGTAAGAGTAAACGGTATTCTGGTTTTGGGAAAAGGATCACACTATTAGCCTAGCTCAAAACACAGAAAGAAAAAAATATACAACCTAATATTGTGTGTTCTCTTACTTATTCTGTAGATACATTTTTTTTGTAAAACTGATTATCCATAGCTTTTAATAACAAAACTTTAAAGATGGGTCATAGAAAAAAAGGAAACAAATATTTTTTCCTTATATGTCATTCATGTGGGTCCTTATTTCCAAAGTGGTAAAAATTGTGCATAACATGTTGCATAACGATTCCAAATCTATTTTTGTAAAACTACTATCTTTACCTTTTAATGCGTTATTTAAAACCTTTATCGTATGTGAAAAGACTCAGTGCAGGAGTGTATGCACATATTAACTTATTTTAGTCAAGGTCTTTTGATCAAATTTATTTTGATTTAATCACATATCCTTTTTTAGGCATTTATATAAGTCAATTTATTGTAAATTAAGTCAACTGAAATATGAAGTTAGGGATAAAATTTCAAGTTTTTATAGCCTTTGCAATGTTAACAAAATTCTAATTAATTCAATTTAATATCAAACAAAAACGTTTTATTAAAGTTGCAATTCCAAGTTATCATTTATATCAAAACCTAAAACAATATGAAAAATGCTTACTACAACATTGCATTAGACCTCGTCTCCAATAGCAATAGTTGGATAGATGCAATATCAACTGTTTTGTTTTTTTGTTTTTTGTTTTTGCAGTAAGCCTGTTATTCCTCAATATTTAAGTTCAGTTCACTGCCACTTAATAGGATTAGGTCTTTTTAATTGTAAATATTAAGGTAAATATTAATTTTGTAACTATAATTGCTTGTAAATCAGGGATTAAACATCTAAATATGCACAAATTAAGGATTTATACAATAAAATAATTTAGAGGAAATTTTGAAGCAGGGAAACATGATGAGGTGATTTAAGGTTGGAAATCCAGTTTAGCAAAAAAGAAAAAGAATTACACACATACACCCACACAAATTTATATATATATATATATATATATATATATATATATATATATATATATATATATATATATATATATATATACACACATATATGTAGACATATGTACATATATAGACATATCTATATATAGATATAGATCTTTGTATATATGTGTATGTGTATATATATATATATACACACACATATATATATATATTTACACACATATATATATATATATATATATATATATATATATATATACACAAGTTATCTCGGCATATCGAAGCTCTAGGCCTTGTGAGCTTGGATGTGTTGGATTCACTTCCTCGTTTGCTCCTCCAATGTACAGCTGACAGAGATACGGACCACACTGTACAGTATATGAAGCAATCTCTCAAGGGCTGTCGCCTGTGTCTTGCTTTGTTGCTCTCTCTCTCTCTCTCTCAGAGCTCCTTGACAGATGCAGTCTGCTGCTCCACTGCTAATTTTTTACACACTTAAACTTAACGTATTCAAGCATTAGATTAGGATACAGTATTTCCCTGGTAATGACACTTCTATTCCATTCTCATTTTTGTAATTCTATGCTTTATCCTTAACTAATGTTCTTTTATAATCTTTAACCTGTAGCATGGTCTACTGTTTTATGAACTTGAGCCATTCATAACAAGGAGAGTGATGGCACTCAATAAATAAAAGAAAATGTTATATTGAACAGTTGTTGAGATAGAAAGAAGATGTCAAACTTAATCTTTGGCTGTGTTAAACACATTGCTGTGGTATTTACTAAAATAACTTCTATTGTTAAACGTTTGTTAATTTAGGAGACAAGAAATATTTAATTTTGTGGTATTAAAATGAATAAAGATGTAGTTATGTGGCAGACCTGCACAAATTTACGGAAGCGTATTGCATTCACAAAAGAAAAATAAATCTGACAGCTTATCTCATAATTACGAGATCAGTATCTCATAATTACGAGATATTATCTCGGAATTACGAGATCTTTTTTCATAATTACGAGATATTATCTCGTACTTAATGTTGTCAATAATGTTCTTTAATTTATGAAGAATTTAAACTGCATCATGAAACCCCCCATGATGTGACATGGGGGTTTCAAGGCCAAAGATGTATATTCCCTGGGATATGTTGTCTGAGTTTACTTTAGTACTGAAACAAGGCAAATGGTCTTTCACATCACTGGAAACATCTCCCAAGGCTGGAGGTTGGAGGCTAACAACCTCTTTTCCATGGTGGGCATTTTATCTCATATTCAAAAAAATAATAGATAAAAAAAATAATAGGTTATATGTATGTATGTACACTTTCCTCTTTCTTTTCCAAGGTGGGTTTTTAATCTAATAATATATATATATATATATATATATATATATATACGATTAAATACCCACCATGGAAAAGAAGGCTGTTTCTTAAAGTAATGATGGACACTCTTTACTGCTTTTTTACATCCCGTGTAGGGGCTTATCCTCCCATGGCGGAACTTCTAGCACCTCATCTTTGGTTCCCATTGTCCCATTGTCACTGAGCATGTCGTCTGTCGGAGCCTTGTCCTTGATGTACAAATGAACCAGCTCCTGAGAGATGGGAACCACCCTAAATGGCAAACCGAAGGCCACCTAATCCTGATCAAGAAGGATCCCACAAAGGATACAGGATAGCCTCTCAACAATGTTGAAGCTCATGTCGTGCATCATAAGAGCCTTCATTGCAAACTCAATTAGGCTGTGGATAACCACCCTTGAAGCATATGGTAAGAAACTTGCACAGATCTCTATCAAATGTGGCATATACCAAAGAGATGTTCTGTCCCCGCTGCTGTCCTGTATAGGTCTGGACCCTCTCGGCCAAATAATCAAGACTGGTTATTACCCCATTTACACTACCCTTGAAAAACCATGCCGAGACCAGTCCGAGCTCAGTAACTGAGATAAATTTTCGTGTGTAAATGGAAAGCAAATTGAACTGAACTGAGCTAGACACAACCGGACCGCGCTAACTGCAGACCAGTTCCAGAGGTGGGCTCGGCTCGGTTTTTCCCTGGCTCGGTTCTCTGATAACAAAAGCGCATGAGCAGAACGCGTCATCTCCGTTTGGCTGCACATCCCGATTCAAACTCCATTCCACTAGTTGGCGGTAATGTCCCTTTGGAAGTTGCTTGCCAACCAAAACAAAACAGAAGAAGAAGAACAACTATAAACAACAATCGAAATCTTCTCCACGCAACAGTTTGATTTGCTTGATTCCCTCCTTCTTCGTCTTCTTCTTCTTGTGTTTTATAGCGGTTGGCAAATAACTTTTAGTGCATTACCGCCACCAACTGCTTGATTCCTCCTTCAATACTGGCAGTAATACCGCAGATCGTCACTCGGAGACGAGGAGTTGAGGAACCGAGATAGCGTGATGTGTAAACAGTCTTCTGAACCAAGCTCGGCCTGGTTAAGTGATCCGAGCTCGGACCGGTCTCGGCATGGATCGGTTTTTTAAGGATAGTGCAAATGGGGTATATGGATACTGACTAAGCAATGGGGCCACCATCAGTCACCTCCTCAAATGGATGACATCAAGCTGTATGCTAAGAATGAGGGACACATCGACTTACTGATCCATACCACCCAGTTCTACAGCACAGATATCTTGATATCTTCGGACTAGAGAAGTGTGGTCGGATGGTGACTAGGAGAGGGGAGGTAATCCACACAGAGGGGTCTCATTACCAGAAGAAACAATAGCAGACATTGAGGACATTTACAAGTACCTTGGAATCCCACAAGCATGGAAGAGGTGACAAGGAAAGCGGCTACAGCCAAATACCTCCAACGAGTAAGGCAGGTCCTACTGTATGAAGCCAGCTCAATTAAATCTACCTTCACCTGTGCATATTACAATGCAATGGCTGAAACCTTATCACACCAAACCAGCCATTAGAACTGGTCATCACCAAAAGGTATTGGCATATGAGTATGAGATACTTTGTATTTGAACTACAGAAAACATCTGCTAATACTTATATGCTTTAAATCATTCACCAATGATCTTAAGGTTTACACAGTAAGAGTGTGCACTTAATAACAGGGGCTAAATGTAAAATTAGGGGATTGAATGAAAAACGTGCACATTAAAGTACCCATGGTGGATGTAATTGGTATATACACTCACCGGCCACTTTATTAGGTACCCCATGCTAGTAACGGGTTGGACCCCCTTTTACATTCAGAACTGCCTCAATTCTTTGTGACATAGATTTAACAAGGTGCTGGAAGCATTCCTCAGGGAGTTTGGTCCATATTGACATGATGGCATCACACAGTTGCCGCAGATTTGTCGGCTGCACATCCATGATGCGAATCTCCCGTTCCACCACATCCCAAAGATGCTCTATTGGATTGAGATCTGGTGACTGTGGAGGCCATTTGAGTACAGTGAACTCATTGTCATGTTCAAGAAACCAGTCTGAGATGATTCCAGCTTTATGACATCGCGCATTATCCTGCTGAAAGTAGCCATCAGAAGTTGGGTACATTGTGGTCATAAAGGGATGGACATGGTCAGCAACAATACTCAGGTAGGCTGTGGCGTTGCAACGATGCTCAATTGGTACCAAGGGGCCCAAAGAGTGCCAAGAAAATATTCCCCACACCATGACACCACCACCACCAGCCTGAACCGTTGATACAAGGCAGGATGGATCCATGCTTTCATGTTGTAGACGCCAAATTCTGACCCTACCATCCGAATGTCGCAGCAGAAATCGAGACTCATCAGACCAGGCAACGTTTTTCCAATCTTCTATTGTCCAATTTCGACGAGCTTGTGCAAATTGTAGCCTCAGTTTCCTGTTCTTAGCTGAAAGGAGTGGCACACGGTGTGGTCTTCTGCCGCTGTAGCCCATCTGCCTCAAAGTTCGACGTACTGTGCGTTCAGAGATGCTCTTCTGCCCACCTTGGTTGTAA